TAAGGAACTATAATCCGAAGAAAAAAAACTATAGACCCTAAAACAAGGTATATCGAGATGGCTGCCGGACTATAATGACGATGCGGAGCATCGTCCACGAGCCGCGAAGCGGCGAGCCGATTTTTTGGGGGGTGTTTATTTGAACCCCGTAAGTGATGTTTTCCTGGCATCTATTAACACAATGGAGACCATAAAAAGCAGTGCATGAACACGTCCGTATTACACCCCCATGTATGGTAATTTACCCTGTATGCCAACTTTTTTGCATGATTCAAACATACCTTCCAGTAAAAAAAGATGCGAGACTGGATTGCCGCAACTTCTTTGCCCTGTTTGCTTCCATATTGCTTGTCACTACACTCAGACCAGACTGATAAAAAAGTGAGCAACTTGAACAAGTAATCCAGGAAATGAGCAGCCCAGCTCAGCGTGCGTTGCCAGGTTAAATCTTCACAAAATCCGGCACCCACACGACACTTAAAATATCCCCAAAGTTGCCAAATTTTGACAGAAAATCCCCAAATTCGTTTTTCATAAAACTCAATATTATTTTCATTCCCAAATATTTATTTTTCATCCCCAAAGACTTCAACAATCCCCCAATTTTTTTTTTTTTTTTAATGTGGGGATTTTGGGGATGAGAATCGGCAACGCTGGCCTAGCTTGTCACTTCGGCGATGGCCCGTGTCCTCAAAAAAGCTGATGGGGGGGGGGGGGGGGCAAGGGACTCTGTGACATTTGTTCGCCCAACCCCCCCCCCCCCTCCCCCCAAAAAGAAATAATAATAATAATAATAATAATAATAATAATAATAATAATAATAATAATAATAATAATAATAATAATAATAATAATAATAATAATAATAATAATAATAATAATAATAATAATAATAAATGAAATAAATACATAGAAATAGAATAAAATAAAATTACAAGTTTTAAAAAAAAGATAAGATTTAAAAATATGGTCCCCGGATTTTTTTTTTTGGGGGGGGGTTGCAACCCCCCAACCCCCCTCTAGATCCGCTTCTGCTACGAGCGAGCGTAGCGAGCGAGCTTTTGGGATAAATTGCTTTTAGTCGCTTGAAATAAGGGGCACATTTAATGATGAGAGGAAATACACCTGTCGAAAGGGTTAAGACAGTTATTAGAAAAGAAAAAGAGCACGTGTGAGAGTACAAAGGCTAATTATCAGAGGTGAAAATGGGGCACTTCTTACACCTAAAAAAAGAGGCATGCACCAGGGATGAAAAGGAAATGGGCATTTGTCGACGGAAAAGAGGCGCCCATCAGATTTTGATAGGGGGCATTTATAAGAAGTTGAAAGGGGCATTTATGAAAAAGGGATAGGGTCCTTATAAGAAGGGACATTGGGCACATCGTTGTTAAAAGGGTAATGAGAAGGGGAAGTGGCTCATATTAAAAGGAAAAAGGGGCACATATTAAAATAAACGGGGACTTATCAATTAAGACGAAACATGGTAATTATGAGAAGGAGAAGGGGCACTTATAAGAAAAAAGAGCATTTATCAGGAAGTAAAAGGGGGACGTGTAAAAAAAAAAACTAGGGGCATTTATAAGAGATGAAAAGAGCACTTTTCAGGAGGGGAAGGGGTACTTGTCAAAGTGAAACGAGTATCTCTCAGAATTGAATAGGGTCATTTACAAGAGATGAAAAGGGGCATTTATGAGAATGAAAAGGAACTATTTTCATATTAATGAAAGGTAACTATTTTCATAGATGAAAAGGGGCATTTATGAGGAGGGACAAGGGCTCTTCTTTAAATGGGGGCACTTATAATAAGCAAAAGGGGCACTTATTAAAAGGGAAAGGGGGCAAATGTGACCCTATGGGAACCTCTCAGATTTGAATAGGGCAATTATCAGAGGTGAAGGGGCGCTTATCAATAGTGAAAAGGTGCAATCAGCCATAAGGTTTAGGAGATACAAGGGATTAATTTAATTTCTTTCAGTTGGCGAAAGGATTTTCATCGTAAATCAATATTTGAACTTCCAGTAATGTGAATGTAATAATGACGCGTCTAACTCTGATCGCCTGATTTGGCTTGCTTTTCTCTATCTCTACCCCCCCCCCTCCCCCTCGCCCTCCCTTACGATATATTTTACATTTATAGTTCTCTTTCTCCTGACCTTTCTCCTTCTCTTCCCCTTCCTTTTCTTTTATTCTCCTTCTTTTCCTTTCTTCTCCTTCTTTTCCTTCTCCTTTTCCTCTTTCTTCTTCCCTTCCTCTTCCCTTTTTCAAAATGATAGGGAGGGCGCCCCCCGCCAGTGTGGCGCCTCCCATGTAAGCGCTATATAACAAAGCGTGGAAGAAGTGTTCGTATATCATTAGCATTATCCAACAAGTACACATTCTGCCAATCAGTCACCAGAAAGCGCACTTTGAACTTCACGATTCTGTCATCTTTTAATCTCTTTAAAATGTTTTTTATCATCTTTACGTCTAAAGAAATCCCCCCTTTTCACACACAAAAAAAGGCGTACGTATGATCATCTAAAAGATCATCATCATTACAGGCGCGTAGCCAGGGGGGGGGGGGCGGTGGGGGCGGTCGCCCCCCCCCCAAAAAAAAAAAAAAAAACGCCGGCCAAAAAAAAAGAGAGAGAAAGAGAAGAAAAAAAGAAAGAGGACGTAGGAAGAAAAGGGAAAAGGAGTCGAGAACGGTACAATGAATCGTCAAAGCTTCCGCGCTTCGCGCGGGAAGGGGGAAACTGAGTTCAAATTAAGAAATATGAGTCGGGAAAGGTACAACGAATCGTCTTCTTTCTCTAATAATTTAATGAAACGTCAAAGCTTCGCGCGAGAGGAGGGGGGGGGGGGGGGGAACAGAATTCAGACAAGGATTAAGAGTCGAGAAAGGTACAACGAATCGTCTTCTTTCTCTAATAATTTAATGAAACGTCAAAGCTTCGCGCGAGAGAGGGGAGGGACTAAATTCAGACAAGGATTATGAGTCGAGAAAGGTACAACGAATCGTCTTCTTTCAAAGCTTCCGCGCTTCGCGCGGGAGGGGGGGAAACTCCCCCCTCCCTGCACCCACCCCCCTAGGGAGCGCGCTTCGCGCGCTCTTTAAGTGGTTCGCCCCCCCCCTAAAATGAAATCCTGGCTACGCGCTTGCATCATTATATACAGATCTGATTATATACCAGCATTAATTAAATGCAATTGGTGAACATGTTGTCTATTTATGGAGCAGAATTATGTGAAAATACAAGTTGGCTTTGTGATGGGTGAAAATAATCCATATGGATTCATTTAGTTTACACAACTTCTCACTTTATCATCATGATTCATCAAGTTTAAATTGACATCTCCCATTTGATCTGTTTAGTTTTTGTAGTCGTAAATCAAAAATTTAATAAAAAATGTACTATTACAATTTGGTGCTCTATACACACATCCAATTCTACAAATATGGCTTCATAACCTGGCTCACTAATGCCCCAAACGGTGCACGTAATGTTACACATAAAACGTGTAACTTAGTAACTTTAGTAACTCCCTAAAGGATGTACCTGGAAATGTATTTTTTGATGATGTTAACGTTGTGAGAGTAACTTCCACCAAGTTTCTTGGGCTACATATTGATGAGAAGCTGTCTTGGGCATCTCATTGTACTAATATTTGTAAAGTCGTGTCTAGAAATACTGGTGTAATTTATAAATTAAGTTCTTTTGTCCCACAAGAAATTTTGCTTATTTTGTATTCTACTTTAATTTTGCCTTATCTCAATTATGGAGTGCTGGCATGGGGGAAGTCATTGAAAACACAATTAGATAAGATTTGTGTTGCCCAAAAGAGGGTGATTAGAGTTGTTTTTAATGCGAGCTATCGTGCTCATACTAGTGTTTTGTTCTATAGTAATAAGCTTTTGAAGGTTGAAGACATTTACTTTATACAGTTAGGCGCAATTATGTATGGTTTTGAAAATGGTACTCTCCCAAATGCGTTAGTACAAATATTTCGAAAGAACAATCAAATTCATAGCTATAATACAAGGCAGGCAACTGCACTTCATATTCCACGTGTAAGAACTGCTTTTGCTCTGAAGACGCTGGCTTGTACTGGTCCCAAATTTTGGAACTCACTTCCTATCAATGTAACTAGATCTGTCAGTGTCTTTGTTTTTAAACGCAAATTGAAATTACATTTATTGAGTAACTATGTCGACAATTAACGTAAAAATTATATCACCAGAAATGATATTAGGTAATAATTTGTCAATTGTTATCGATAACGTGCATTATCTTTTTTTGTTGTTGTTATGTTTGATTATTCAATATAAATGTCAGCATTTCACATTCTCTCTCTCCCCCCCACCCCCTCCTCTCTTCTATTTTTCTTTTTCTTTACACCAAATATCATTTCCCCCTATATACATATAACTTTCTTCTTTCTCTGTTTTTCTCTGTTTTGTTTTGTTTTTCTCGTTCCAGTTTGCTTTTTTCCTCTCGATTCCTTTGTATATATTTTCATCCTCTCCTTTTCAAATTTCAAGCTATCCCTTTTGTAAATATTTCCCCCATATTTAATCATGTGTAGTTTTGATAACTTTGAAACATTTGTCAAAAGTGAAACATTGATGGATTATTTTATATGGGGACCTTGCTCTTACAAGCCCAGCTTTTCTATAAGGTACGTCTCCACTTTCTTTCATTTGGATTATATATCGACTTAAAATTGCACTTAAATTGTTTTTTCTTATGCTGTTTTTTATTCTATTATTATATGTAAAAATGTTGTGAAAGAAAGAAATAAAATGAACCTTGAACCTTGATTACATAACGAAGATTTCCTCTTTCATTGAATACATTTCTGAAAGTCACCTTCTGGGACACACCCACAAATTTAGAGTGAATACCAGTCGTTTTTTAAAACTATATAAATTATGTACGCTGTTGCACACGCGAAGAGTCTGCTTCGGCGCATGGTGTCCACTCTATGCTTGGGCGTACGTTTACAATCTTCGATCATTCGATCTTTTTGCTCTAGATATAGCTGCCGTGTAGTGAATCAGAACGTTCTTCACTCAAAGTCACTCGTTAGTCAAGCATTTTTGTGACTGTATCGCAATATTCCAAGAAATATCACCATGTCTAAGATTCAAGGTAAGGGATTACACATTTTTACGAAACATTTCCAGCTCGTTAGAATAAAAAGAAAAGGGCAAGATTAAGAGAACAACTCGAGACTCAATCGAGGCCCTGGATAGCTGGATTGAAAAGGACGGGAGCGTGAGTCCAAAGCCAAGGCCGGGGAAGGTTCGGGCGGAAATGTAGATTGAGAGCGGCGCGGCAGGGCTATGAAATGTATGTGTACGGCTTTCATTCAATTCAGTTGACTGGGTTTGGCCGAAAACATTAGTCTCTGATATCGATGGTTGTTCCGCTGAGACTAGATCTAGTCTATTCTATGTCTAGCTCCAGCTGTGCTGAGCTGACCGCCTGAGAGACTTACTGAATACTACTAGATCAGATGTACTATGGAGAAAGTTGACAAATGTTTTATTGTCTTCAGATCCATTACCATAATGCATGGCCCTTCAGAGGAATTAGTCTATTAATAATTTATCGCACTTTCTTTGGTTTTTTGTACAGTCATGATTCAATGGCTAATCGGCCTCGTTACTGTGAGGCCCCAGGAAAAAACGGTGTCGATCAGCTATTTAGTGCCCTTTTGTGAGGCATTAATCCTCATTATTGTCAGTTATGACTTAGGACGTATCTATAATCTAGGTCCCCTAGTTCATTAGCATACTAATAGTAGCACACACATGCAGTGATGCAAAACATATAGATTCTTGCCATTTACAATATAGAATCTAGTCTATAGACTATTATTCAATAAAATCTGAAAATGTAGAAATGTATATCTAGGCCCTAGATCTACTATTATTTAGAAATCGTTGTCAAAATCATTCCATAAATTGGGGGTACAACAAATTATTGCACCTTTATGACGTACAGTGTACATCTAAATATGTGCATCCAACATTGATGTTTAATTTTTTTTTTAAAATGTTTTCAAACAGAGAATTTGATTGGAACTGTAAATGCTGTTAGTCTTGTGTGATTAATTTTTCCCACTGAGCAACCATAAATCATATTTGCAGGTTCTTAGAATCGCATTTCACGCAATTCAGCCTGTTTAAAACTTGCATCATAAGTCATGCTTATATCATGGTGGGTGTAAATATTCGCGGATACAGACTTTAGCTCTAAAACCATGAAAATTAAAACACCGCAAATATTACCTCGTTAACAGTATTGTATATTGGCCCTGGTACAGAAATTAGCTCTCACAAATGTGCTTTTACTTTGATTTTTCAGGAGGAACCGTTGTTGAGATGCAAGGAGATGAGATGACAAGGTATTTAAATATAACACTAATATTTTCATTCATGTCTTGATTCCAAATATTGCCTGTGGGAAGGGGGGGGGGGGGGAGGTTAAGGTCACTCTTGTACACAAGTGCTACCCACAGTGTCCATCAACCTCTGAAATGGACCCTAATGGGGTATCGCACCTTTTCTGAAATGACCCAAAGGGCGTGTGTTTCAAACCAGGGTCACCTAAGTCAGTTTATAGGTGAAGCCAGAGAGCTGATCAAGCGAAGGTGCTGCTAGACCAACTCACATCACCCTATCTGCTTGAAAAAAACACCCCTTTTTAAGGAAAATGTCCATGAGGCCATATATATCTGAAAAAGACACCCTTTAGGCGCATTTTCTAGACGCGGTGTGTAGCCAGTCATGTTGGGATGGGGGGGGGGGGGGGGGGGGGAGGGGAGAAGTAGCTCATACCTTAAATTCACAAGTTTAAAAAGTCCCCCTCCCCCCTCCCTGTGAAACAAAAATTGACAAATGCATCTGTGCAGACTGGTCACTTGTAGTTTTAATATTGCAATGCTTTTATTTTTTTTCTTTATCTCTCTCTCTTCCTTTAAAGAAAAAACCTGTTGATGATACGTGACATTGTATCAGAACATTGGATTTCATTTATTCCTTTGCTCTTCTCAAATATTACCCAATACATGCAGTATTCTAAGTCAAAGTCTAAAGCAGTACTCAAGAAGAACACTAAATTATTATATGAATGCTAGTTTTTGTGTGTTCTCACTCGTACATGTCTGATCAAAGGTAGTGTTTACATTAGTCTTTATCTCCTTGACATTGTGCTTAGTAACGTTCCAGGGTTATCCTGGTACGCCTGGTATTGATTACAGGTAAACATGGTACAAGGTGACATTCACTCATGTATCTTGTACAGTGAGAATAGAGAAGAAGTATATTGAGAATAAGGATTAGTGAACAGCATGTTCATAGGTTTTGAGGCCTCTATGGAAGTTTCATCTATGAAGATTATTCTCAAATTCTATTTTTGGCCAATGAGAATGTACTAATTCTCTCTCTATTTTGAGAGTGTACTAGTACTTTTCCTTTGCCATTCTGACCTAGTTTTATGAAGTAAGATTTTGTTATCATTAACATGTTATTTACATTATGAACAATTAAAAATGGAACCATAATTTTGAAATTGTAAAATTTATTGCATTTGTTTTTCCTAGTTTCTGTACCCGTGTTTAGACTTTGTGACATAGGTAGTCAATATGTTCATATAGAGAGTTCATTTACCCATCATTTCTAATGACCTGCAACTACATGTACATGTTCATGTATAGTAAACATGTATACCTGCAATTAACAGTGTGAACAAAATCATTAGAACCTATAAGTAGGGCCATTGATTGGACAATGTAGCATTCTGAGGTCTCTTTGCATGCATTTTACTACATGCAATAAAATATGCTCAGTGTAAATGAACCTCTACCTTCTCTCTTTCTCTCTCATGCTCTGTGTGTGATGTCTGTCTGTCTCAATTTCTCTCATGCTCTGTGTGTGATGTCTGTCTGTCTCCCCCTCTCTCTCTCTCTCTTTCTCTCTCTCTATCTCTCTCTTTCTCTCTCTCTCTCTCACGCTCTCTCTCTCTCTCTCTCTCTCTCTCTCTGTATATCAGGATCATATGGGATGACATCAAAGAGAAGCTCATCCTTCCATTCATTGATCTCAACATACAGAGTTATGATCTCAGCATTCAGAATAGGGATGCTACGGATGATAAAGGTAAGATTAATTTGCTTCAAACCCTTTCTTAAGACTCATAAACACAAACTTAAGGGCCCAAATTCACAAAGGAGGTTTAAAATTAACCCATGGTTTAAAGCCTCATTTACATAACCCATAGTTAATGCCTTCTGGCTCTGAACAAATGATATTGTCTTGAACATGTTTGCACTGATAATGGCTGGTCCTTCAGGTCAACCAAGCATGCAAGGATGAGATGCAGAGCATTCATTCATTCTGATGATAATCTGTACTGTCTCCTGTGTTGTTCCGCACACACCCCTCAAAGGCTTTGAATGGGCATAGCCCTCAATAGACCTGTCCTCATCAGCTTGAGTTGGCCTAATAGCCCACTATTTCTGATTCACACACACCCCTCAAAGGCTTTGAATGGGCATAGCCCTCAATAGACCTGTCCTCATCAGCTTGAGTTGGCCTAATAGCCCACTATTTCTGATTCACTGAGATTTCAGGAAAAGCAGGCTATTTGGCAGATGAAGACGCAAATAGCTGGCTATCTGCTCGGGAAATCTTCCCAAGATATCTTGGGCTAGTTTGCAAAATAGTCCGCTATTAGTGGGGCCATCTTAACCAGCCCGAAGACTCGCACTATGCGCGAACACTGAGCGAATTTCTTGAGCTCGAGCTTCGAGCTGAAGAAGACGCGATTAGTAACTTTAGACTAATTTCCCAGATCACAAAATAGCGGTCTATTTGGCCAACTCAAGTTGAATAAGACAGGCCTCCTATTAATTCCAAGCTAGGTTCTAGTGTGTACAGGTAGGTGTGAGGGGTGCATGTACGTAGCTGCTTCCTTTTATGTATATTGAATGCTAGTCATACAAAATAATGCAAGCCTTATTGACGTTACCAGTAAGTTTGTAAGATTACCTGCATGTTATTCTCAACAGGAGTAATCTTGAGACATAACAACTTCCGTAACTTGTCTTCTACCTTCAAATTCACTGCATACATACTGATAGGAAACGTAAATGATAACAAAGATAACAAGAGAGGGTATATCTTGACCTCTTTCATTTCCTTATCATTGCACATGAGAAGAGAAAAAGTGGCAGCACAGAATTGTTGCGATTTTCTTTTCATCAACTAAGGTAAAATATTCACCATTATTACCTATATAGGGCATTTTAGCTGCACAATAAAAAGCCATATTATGAAAAAAAGGGAAACATTCTCAGCGGTATATTCCACTCCTTGTCAGTGTGCTTTTATTAAAGTACATATGCACAGTATTGTGTACGGTAGGCGTTAAAGGTACAATGTCCCATTTGCCGGTCAGAAAAAGGAAAAGGTTAAATTCCAATGGCATTTGAAAGACAATACTTATTTAGAACTTACCTGTATAAACAAAAGGGTTTTGAAAATGGCTGTTTGTGGAAAAATAACGACCATTAGTTGTCAAATCAACATAAGTGGTTGCAATCAGCTAAGTAATAGTTTGATTTTCAGACCCATGTTCATGTAGAATGGTTGTATGTTTTGTGCTGCAAAAAGATTAAATCGGTGTAATTTTGGCCATTACAAGTAGTGGGTAATTGATGTAGACAAATGCTCATGTACCTGTTACAGCTCATTTTATGTATGTTATTACCAAAGAAAAACAAGAAGACAGTCAGTCAATCAATAGTGTCTGACTGTGAAGTCTAGAAGGTAAACGGGTTTCCTTGCATAATTTAAATATATGACACTGCTAATGTTTAAATTTCACAGGTAGGACATACAGGTAGATGACATATTCATAATTCCTGCAAAGTTCTACAGAATTTGATGTTGGCTGCAAAAGGGACATACACTGTAGTATCTTTACAGTGTAGGCGCGTTAAAAATTAACATCACAATTACATACCTGCCTGAATAACCTGAAATCAGATGGACCGGCAAACAGATGTGAGGAAAAATCATATTTGATACCAAAATTGTATAATATCATTTGTAAAAAATATGCCTTGTATAGGTAATAATAATTATATTGACAGGGCTTATTTTAGGGCACATCAGAAATAATGACCACGCTAAGACCATATACGACTCCGGGCAATAAGATCTTAGCTTGGTCAATATTTCTGATGTACTCTTTAGCCCAGTCAATATAATATAAATATTCAACCCAATTAATTGATGCACCAGTACTCATGCCATCCTTTGTTTTCTTTGGTTACAGTGACTGTAGAGTGTGCAGAGGCCATCAAGAAGTGTAATGTTGGCATTAAATGTGCTACTATTACCCCTGATGAGAAGAGAGTTGAAGGTAAGATAACTGCAATTATATACAGCTCAAACAAACACCTGTATAGAAAGACCACTTTTCTTGTCTCCTTAATTGTGTGGTCTTTATAGACAGGTTGCACTGTTCAATCATTCAGGGTTTGAATGCCAGTTTTGTACATCTACAAAGTCAATCATAAAGCACTCTTTACACATATTAAACATGTACCATCCTGTAGCTATGAATTACCCATACTTATATGACAAGCATATCATGAATATAAATTCATGAAATCCTTAAACAAACAGAAAATTAGTTACATGGTATCAAACGTTAAAGTTAAAGTTAACGAGCGCAGTTTGAGTTAATAAAGATAAATTGAAACTTGTCCTTCTTCAAAACTAATAGGAACAGGACAAAATATGAATTTTCAAATCTATCTTTGGCACTGCTTGGGTAAAGTTGAATTTGCTACACCTCACTTTAAGGTAGAATTATATATGAACTATTTAATTGTTATTTTTCCTTAAGCGTAGCCAAACTCAAGACCTATATTCATCTTTTGAGTGTCATCTATGCTGGAGAGTAGGCCCCCGGCCTCCACACCATGTCGCATCGTTTAACAATGTTAAATCTGAGATGCACGGCCCTACAGTACATGTTATCAGTGTCTGTGATATGGTGTAATAATGAAGCCCTATTAATTCATATCGTGCCAAGAACACTGTTCTGTGCATGCGCTGGCGTGCCACGCTCACATAATCGGGTTTCTGGTGACTTGCCATGCACATGTAAATTCTCATTCGCTCGCGTGCCGCATAAGTACACACGCTAATTGTTTATGCCTATTGTGCGATGCGCATTGCGTGCACGCATAAATGCTTATCGATTTGTGTGGGGGGTTCATTGTTGTTTTGATTTTGCATGCTTTACATAATTAGTTACATTGGATTTTCCTGAGAAAATTGCGATATTTTATCATCAAATTTGATAGTTTTGATCATGGCCCCTCAGATTGTGTGCGGGAAATGAGACAACGGATTGGTTTGACAACTCACGGATAGTGCTTTTTTACCTTACCAAAATGACAGATTCATGAAATGATATAGGTATTAACAGAAAGAGGGTTATATTTCCTACAACTTTAATATATGAGATGTTATAGTGGATCAAACATAGTAACAATAGTAACAATTTAAACTACACGCAATTGAACCAACCCTAAATTAACTTGGCACACAGGAGATTAGTGGCTGGCACAATAGGGATTAGCACTTTTGCACTGGGTGAATTGAATGGGGGCAGCTTAAAGTTGATATTCTAAGACAATCCCAAATATTGAGATAATTACATCAATAGAAAACTGACAAAAACAAGTTTAGAATGGTGAATTTATGCGAGTAAACTCTACCAAACTATCTAAGTCTGAAACCCGGAAGTGCATGTAGAGTCGGGCCTCTATCCATGACGTCACGAACGGGACTCATGGGCTTAGTGAGAGTGAATGGCAGTGATATCCCTACGTAAATACTATCCTGTCAGAGCTTATATTCGTTGTTGTTAATGAGTGTATTTGATGGATTTTCTGTTTCCATTTGAATGAAGAATAACGAAGCAACATTTTCCAGTTGCTGATTTCTTTTTATATCCTCATATTCACCTATTTGGTAGAGATTTAAGATGAGTTTACTGCTTGGGAAATAATCATGCCCGTATAAATAGGTGGATGCTTTATCTTGTCATTAGAAAAGGTGCAGGAGCAGTTTTGTAAAACGAATATGCCTAGAATTATGATAGTACTTATCATAGATGTGTGTGACTGCCTCAAAAAAGGATACAGTACCAGTTAAACATTTTATGTTGTAAAATATCAAACTTGAACGAGATCCTACAAGCGCGCTTCTTCTATAATATTTTGACAACGTCTAGTGACCGAACGATATTCATCCGCGATTCATGCATGAGCGTTCGTGAAGCGAGCAGAATTGGGAGGTAAGACCAGGCCGCTGCTCTAGGCGCGGCTTGCTTGTGATGGAACGTACGTGCAATTGCAAGAGAATGAAAGCGACGTTACCAGCTAAGAAAAACAACTAACAAAGACTTGCTCCTGACTACCGGTGTCAGAATTGGTAGATCGCACAATAATTGAATGCACAGCATGCTTCCAAAAAGTAAAAATCTTTGATTGACCGGTTTTAACATATTCATTTCCCCCAATAGACTGTAGTGTTATAAAAACCATAAGAAAACAAAAACAAAATTTCTATTTCCAATCATAAATATCTTAATAAACAGACAGACAACTGGCTTGGAAAAGTCAAAGGATTCCTGACTGACCTAAAGGTTCATAATTATGATTGCAGCATGAGCTAAATCCAGGATTTTGTTCCAGAATCTGAAGCAATGTTACAGGGTCACTTTAACACATGACATCAGATTTCATTCTTGAATTGGAATATAAATGGTTATGGAAAACATGTTTTCATTGAAATGTACAAAGAAATGAGTATTAGGATATTGATTGTGGAAATCATATTTCAACTAGTTGTTCCTATTTTTTTCTTGTGTAGAATTCAACCTGAAGAAGATGTGGAAGTCACCTAACGGTACGATCCGAAACATCCTGGGAGGCACCGTGTTCAGGGAAGCTATCATCTGCAAGAACATTCCTCGACTGGTTGTGACATGGAACAAACCTATCGTCATTGGCCGTCATGCTCACGCTGATCAGGTATGAAGAGAGAGAAAGATAGATAGATGGAGAGATAGATAGAGGGAGAGATAGATAGATAGATGGATGGTAGATAGATAGATTGATTGATAGATAGATAGATAGATGGAGAGATAGATAGATGGATACGTTCATGTAGATAGATATGATCGACAGATATATAGGTAGAGGATCAAACCTATTGTCGTTGACGAGGGGATAAAGAGATTTGTAATCTATCTTTCAAAGACCATGATTTCTGTCTAGATTGTCTTAAGGGGTGATGAGGAGGTTTACAATAGTCTATCTTTCAAAGATAATGATTTCTGTTCATCTACAGTGTAAGAATGTCTTGTCTTCTTTCTTCTCTTCTTTCTACCTAGTACCTAGCCACTGACCTTGTCGTACCTGGCAAGGGCAAGATGGAGATGAAGTTCACTCCAGCGGACGGCAGTGAACCTCAAACATTCACCATTCATGACTTCAAAGATGGCGGTGGCGTTGCTATGGGAATGTTTAACACTGATGTCTCCATTACAAACTTTGCTCATTGTTGCTTTCGCTTTTCCCTTGATAGAGGCTATCCTCTCTATCTCAGGTAAGTTTGTACCTTATACTTGTATTATAGTGGGTCTTGATAGGGGCTATCCTCTCTATCTCAGGTAAGTTTGTACCTTATACTTGTATTATAGTGGGTCTTGATAGGGGCTATCCTCTCTATCTCAGGTAAGTTTGTACCTTATACTTGTATTATAGTGGGTCTTGATAGAGGCTATCCTCTCTATCTCAGGTAAGTTTGTACCTTATACTTGTATTATAGTGGGTCTTGATAGGGGCTATCCTCTCTATCTCAGGTAAGTTTGTACCTTATACTTGTATTATAGTGGGTCTTGATAGGGGCTATCCTCTCTATCTCAGGTAAGTTTGTACCTTATACTTGTATTATAGTGGGTCTTGATAGGGGCTATCCTCTCTATCTCAGGTAAGTTTGTACCTTATACTTGTATTATAGTGGGTCTTGATAGGGGCTATCCTCTCTATCTCAGGTAAGTTTGTACCTTATACTTGTATTATAGTGGGTCTTGATAGAGGCTATCCTCTCTATCTCAGGTAAGTTTGTACCTTATACTAGTATTATAGTGGGTCTTGATAGGGGCTATCCTCTCTATCTCAGGTAAGTTTGTACCTTATACTTGTATTATAGTGGGTCTTGATAGGGGCTATCCTCTCTATCTCAGGTAAGTTTGTACCTTATACTTGTATTATAGTGGGTCTTGATAGAGGCTATCCTCTCTATCTCAGGTAAGTTTGTACCTTATACTTGTATTATAGTGGGTCTTGATCGAGGCTATCCTCTCTATCTCAGGTAAGTTTGTACCTTATACTTGTATTATAGTGGGTCTTGATAGGGGCTATCCTCTCTATCTCAGGTAAGTTTGTACCTTATACTTGTATTATAGTGGGTCTTGATAGGGGCTATCCTCTCTATCTCAGGTAAGTTTGTACCTTATACTTGTATTATAGTGGGTCTTGATAGGGGCTATCCTCTCTATCTCAGGTAAGTTTGTACCTTATACTTGTATTATAGTGGGTCTTGATAGGGGCTATCCTCTCTATCTCAGGTAAGTTTGTACCTTATACTTGTATTATAGTGGGTCTTGATAGAGGCTATCCTCTCTATCTCAGGTAAGTTTGTACCTTATACTTGTATTATAGTGGGTCTTGATAGAGGCTATCCTCTCTATCTCAGGTAAGTTTGTACCTTATACTTGTATTATAGTGGGTCTTGATAGGGGCTATCCTCTCTATCTCAGGTAAGTTTGTTCCTTATACTTGTATTATAGTGGGTCTTAAAGGCAACGTTTAACAATGTTAAATCTGAGATGCACGGCCCTACATGTTATCAGTGTCTGTGATATGGTGTAATATTGAAGCCCTAACAAAAATTGCGCTTCAAATGATCATGAAGTGCCTCAAAGAAGTAAAAACCTTTGAATGACTGGTTTTACCATACTAATTTTTCCCCAATAGACTGTAGTGTAATAAAAACCATTAGGAAAGCGAAAAATGAAAGCCCCACTTTTCTACTTGTAGCTACTTGCTCCCTCTATATAGAAAACAAAGCCTAATCGGTGACCATTGGTCCCCCATGATCCTCTTTTTCTTATGTTAATTCAAACTTAATTGAGAGCTGAGTTGATAAGATAACCACCTGTCAGTGACCTCCCTGTGTGGTATAATCCCTTCTAGCCAAACTAGTACAGCCGGCCTTTAAAGGGATCGTTTAACAATGTTAAATCTGAGATGCACGGCCCTACATGTTAACGGTGTCTGTGATATGGTGTAATATTGAAGCCCTAAACAAATTGCATTTCAAAATGATCATGAAGTGCCTAAAAAAAGGAAAAATCTTTGAATGACCTGTTTTTACCATACTCATTTTCCCCAATAGACTGTAGTGTAATAAAATCCATTAGGAAAACAAAAATTGAAATTTTGATTTCCAATCATAAATATCTTGATTATGAGACAGGCGATTGGCTTGTAAAATTCAATGGGATTATAATAACAGCATTAGCTAATTCTAGGATTCTGTTTCAGAATCTGAGGCAATGTTACCGAGTCACTTTTAAGGTACTATGTCCCATTTGCAGGCCCCAAAAATGTAAAGGTTAAATTTCAACGACATTTGAAAGATAACACTAATTTAGAACTACCATTAGTTGTTGAATCGACTTAAAGGTAAAGACCAGTTATGGTCATGCGATTGCATTGTGAAAGAAACGTTGTGGAATCGATCAGAAAAGGTTGATCATCTAGCATCTAGCATCTGCAAGGTTCTGGAATCATCAAAATGATAAGAAATTTGGCCCATTCTTCGTAAAGTTACAAGCACTATACACAGAAAGATGTATATGGGACTACCCTATATCTCTCACAGACCATGAGAGAAACAAATTTACCAAATATATGATTTAGTAGGTGGTTTCCCGGCAAATTTTTTATCATCATGTATTAGTCAAAACATATTCTTTCACATGATTGGTAATGAGAGCTTCCATTTCATTTTTTGAAATTGGGGCATTTCCAATACTGGTCTTTACCTTTAAAGATAAAGGTGAGTTTTGATAATGCGATTGCATTGTGAAAGAAAAGGTGTGGAATGGATGAGAAAAAGTTGATCATGTAGCATGTAAGTATTGGTGTGTACTGCAAGGTGCTGGAGTCATCAAAATCATAATAAATTTGGCCCAGTCTAGGTAAAGTAACAAGCACTGTACACAGAAAGATGTATATGGGACTACACAAATGATGTTGCGGCTAGTACTTGACATTTATTTGTAATCTTGAACATTCAGTGTAAGTTTTGTTTGATTCTGTGAGTATTCATTTTCTTTTTTTTGACCAGAACTCAAGTTTATCTTTAAGAGCTATGGTCTGATTTTCAGACCATTGTACCGAATGGTCGTACGTTTTATGCTGCGCAAAGATTTAATCAGTTTAATTTTGGCCATTACAAGAAGTGGGTTATTGATGTAGACAAGTGCTCATATACCCTTCACAGCTCCAAAGAAATGTGAGGAAAATAATCTAGGAGCATTGTAATGCAACCTCCAATATGTCCTTATACAGTCAAACTTGATTTAGTGACCACCTGTCTATAAAGACCACATTTTTTGTTTCCCTTTCAAATGGTTTCTCATTGAAATGTGTACTAAAGGAACCTGTCTACAAAGACCATTTATTGGGGTTTCCCTTGGGCAGTCGCTATAGACAGGTTTGAATGTATTGTTATTATCTTCATAATTATCAGAATTAGTTAAAATCTGATTTGATGAGTACCTGGCAGGAATTTATTCCTTGAAATCCTGGATTGCTGTATAAACAGCAGCTAGGCTAAAGTCGGGGTAATAATAAATGCGCCTCGGAATAGAATTACCTAGATAGACGCGCTATAGAAATGCCTGTTATTAATATTATTATTTTCTTCTGGTCCTCAGCACCAAGAATACGATTCTAAAGCGTTATGATGGTCGGTTCAAGGACATCTTCCAGGAGATCTATGAGAAGGAATACCGGGCAGATTATGAGGCCAAGAATATCTGGTATGAGCATAGACTCATAGATGACATGGTGGCCTTCGCTATGAAGAATGAAGGTGGATTCGTCTGGGCCTGTAAGAACTATGACGGAGATGTTCAGAGTGACTCCGTAGCACAAGGTATTAATATTTTTTATTCAATCACAGATTGGGATGTGAAGGTATTTCTATTTTCTATTCAATCACAGATTGGGATGTATATTTAGGGTTGTGGGGGAAGGGGGTATCACTCATAGTCACTTATTGTTGTTACGAACATGTTGATGTTTAGACTTTGTGTTCCTGCCAAGTATCCTTGTAACTACATCAAGTGGTCTCTTGCACGGCAACCACATGTAGTAATTAAAGCCATTCTAAAGCCCCAAACTCCCCAAAAATTGATGACAAAATTTTATGTAAATTGTATCATAACGTGAAGTGGGATATCATTCAAAACACACTTCTGCAAAAAGCCACCCCCCCCCCCCCCATCCATAAAAAAAAAAAAAAACTTGTTTGAAGACAAATATTAATAAAAGAAAACATAATTTGGGTTTTCTGTTGTACGCACGAAACCTACAATTTTTGTATTATTTCATCAATATTCAACTTCAATTCGATTTTGAAAATCCTTGTAGAAATGTGTCTTTAATGACATCCTCTTTCACATTATGATCCAATTTAAGTAAAATTTTGCCATCAAATGTCTAGCGAGTTTGGGGCTCCCAACAATTTAGAGGGGCTTTAAGGATGAAAGAACACTAGCTCATGATTTAATCTGATCAGAGACAACTGCGACATTACAGAGCATGAGACATGAGCGCTATACAAGAACCCACTATTATTATTATTATTCAATGTCAATGTAATTATTTGTGCCTTGGTATGTTGATTGTAGGCTATGGATCCCTTGGTATGATGACATCAGTACTGGTCTGCCCTGATGGGAAGACAGTCGAATCAGAAGCTGCTCATGGCACAGTCACAAGACATTATAGAATGCATCAACAAGGCAAAGAAACATCTACTAACTCAGTTGGTAAGTACTATCTCAATGTGTGTTAGGTATGGTGTGTCTTACTACAGTCACAAGACATTATAGAATGCATCAACAAGGCAAAGAAACATCTACTAACTCAGTTGGTAAGTACTATCTCAATGTGGACTTGTGGGCTTTCACATCATGCTAAGTTGAACGATGAATATCTTTATCTCTAGAAGTAACATAACATTGTATCAATAATGTCAATGTTTCTCTTTAATCTTATTCAACTTCCATCTTTGCCTGGACTCAAGGTCTTGCACACAGGGCTAAGTTGAACCATGAATATCTTTATCTCTAGAAGTTACATAACATTGTATCAATAATGTCAATGTTTCTCTTTAATCTTATTCAGCTTCCATCTTTGCCTGGACTCGCGGTCTTGCACACAGGGCCAAGTTGGATAGTAATGAAGCCCTTGCCAAGTTTTCTACAGCCCTAGAAGAAGCCTGTATTGAAACTATAGAGGGGGGTACAATGACCAAAGATCTCGCTATCTGCATCAAGGGAATGGCAAAGTAAGTACCATTTCATTTTTAACACATATTTCTAAAAGGCTTCAAATATCAACTCTTCTTGAAAAACACTGAAAATGGGGATTTCTCTCATTTTTACAATTATCTGATTAAACAATTTATCAGAGTTTCAAAGGAGATCAATGAAAAGTTCTTTGGTGTAAAGTTAACATATATGAATAGTTACAGAGTAATTTTGAAATTTCCCATACTACATGTTCCAATATTAATTTCCCATACTACATGTTTCAATATTAATTTCCCATACTACATGTTCCAATATTAATTTCCCATACTACATGTTCCAATATTAATTTCCCATACTACATGTTCCAATATTAATTTCCCATACTACATGTTCCAATATTAATTTCCCATACTACATGTTCCAATATTAATTAAAAAAAAAATGATTTCTGGCATCCAATTATATTTTAAAATAGGGGCTATTGTTAACAAATATTTTATTTTCTCTGCCACCTCATTCATTCCAATTTTAGAAAGTCAAACTAACTATTATTATTATTTAGTAATTTTAAATTTATTTATTTATTTTTTATTTATTTTTTATTTAAGGGAGTCCTTTGATTGGTAGTCAATATAAAGCGGTTTAACCCTATTTAGCCCGGGCTATTTTAAAACTGCATAGCCTAAAGCCCCCCCCCCCCCATGATCTTGGCTGTGGAACGACTGATCGCCGCAAAAATTTGCATACATGTCAAGTGAAGTGTATAGAATACTATGGTAATTTCAATTTTATGAAAAATTCACTCATTTGCATATTTATGATAATTTATGCAAATAAGGTCATAAAATTCACATTTTTGCCCATGAATCAGACATTATTAATATTTAAGCATTTTTTTCCACTACATATATTTGTTAGATCATTTGGAATAATAATACAACACAAACAATTGAATAACCAGGGTTATTCCTTATGTTATCTATTGTTTTGATAATTTCTTTTGTATTTTATTGTTTTTGTTGTTTTTATTTCATTTCCAACTATAATTCAACTATATTGACCCCAAAATAAACACCTCAACTATAAACAAGACCAAATAACCAATGTTTTATCTCTTTATTTGAAAAATGAGATTTCCATATGTTTTGTACACAAATCACGTAAATGACCGATTTTTGGGCTGACATGCAAAGACAAAAGGACACATGACTTTGTAATGGTAGGTCCGATTTTCAAAAAATTTCTTTCAAAAGATGCGCAAGACTCGAAAGAAAAAAGTCACAACATTTCAGTGCAAGATTTGTATACGTTAAAAAATTATCGCGAAAAATGTCGAGGGGGGGGGGCTTCTAAAACCCCCCCCCCCTCCCCGGGCTAAATAGGGTTAATCATGAATTTCATTTTAATAGGGAGACAAACATTGGCTTTGAAACACCCCTTTTTACATGAAATGGAATGTGTATCTTTAAGATTTGTACAGGGCTAATCATGAATATCTGGTGTTATTACCACTTTGTAAGAATATTTAGAATGACGGTTTCCTAGGGGAGACCAATCAATTATCCTTGACCTATGTGAATGTGTTCTTAAATATTTCAATCCTTCAAACAGAGAATAGATCTCACACAAAATAGTTTCCTCCCAAAGTGTGTTAGTTCTTTGAATACTCCTAATGGGTGACTCATTGAGTTAGTAGCTGATGCAGAAGTTAATCTTTCTTTTCTCTCTCTCTCTCATCTTACAGTGTCACCCGTGCTGACTATGTGAACACCTTTGAATTCATTGAGAAAGTAGCTGAGATTGTTGCTGCTAAGTGTAATTGACTAGTAACCAGCAAACTATGAAAATCTAGTGGCATAATAGGGAGGGGTTCATGTCAATCAGAATAGAAAACATTGTTTGTTTTTTAATTTATTTTTATTAAGGCAGTCATTGTAAAATAATTGTAGATGTAAATCTATTTTTCTGGTGCTGTAATAAAGAGTACACAGTATTTTTATGAAATATCGCATTTAGTATGATAACAGGAACAATAATTACGATTTCAAACAATGAATTGTGTTATTTTTTCAATGGGCTACATTAACAAAGAGATATTTAATGCAAATGAAGCAAGTTGAGATAATTGAAGCTATTTAAACCCTTGATATGCATGTACAATGTTATAATTTGAGTGATTATTGTCTGTGTATTTAGCTCTAGTGACGTTTACTCCAATTGCAATATTGGTTGCCTTGCTGAATCTCTCAAATGCGATATCATATCAGTTGATGCTGCAGTATCTATAAGTACATATACAAAGAGCATAGGCAGAGATACACTTAGTGTACCGACATGCCAAAATACTCTACAAATACAGTTGGTTTTATTAGGGCTATTTCTTGTACGCTTGGTCTTGTAGTTTTTAAAGTAATTGTTTGTGTGTGATTCTTTTTTAATTGTTTTCTTGTTATTTAGTTTACCTAGGCTGTATGTAGTGGAAGGTTCTTTTTAGATATATAATATATATGTATTTGTGCAACAGTAATTAATATTAATAGCTTTCACATTCCTTTAATGTTTCTTAGTCAAATAATGATATGATAACAGCAGTTTGGCATTGGACATTTTAATCAAGTATTCCTGAACATGCTTACTGATGTGTAAATAAATGTACCTGCCACCCCCCTCCCCCTCCCGACATTCCTGTTACCAATTCTCTTTTTAGTTTGTATCATCCATTCAAGTATTTACTTCAGGAAAGTGGTATCACCAATATAACCATTTCTATGGATGATATATCAATTCAGCAAGCAAGCCTGACATCTGTACTGACAAGATTTTGTTTATTGTCTCTACACTTGGTTTTTGTGATTTAAAGAGGGACTCTTTACCATAAGAGAATATTGACCAAGGCATTGAGCTTCCATTTAAACTGTAAATTCATGTATTCATTCTTGTATGTGTATGGATCTTTTGACACAAACATCATTCAGTATGCATTGCTGTATTGTAAAATAGTTGACCAATGTGACATTATGTATTACTCCCATAGCCTGTACTCTTACCATCCCAGTCTATTAGAATTGATTTCATAAATGAAATCCTCTTTGGAGTTAGACTGCTTGAATAAGGTCCTTTCCTGTTGGTATACTTTTAAGGCAGTGTGAGTGAGTGTAAATCTGATAGTTAGAAGGACATTAAAGCCCCTGCAGCTACTTGCGCCCTCTATATAGCAAACGATGCCTAATCGGTACCCGTTGGTCCCCCTTTTCTTATGTTAAATGAGAGCTGAGTTGATGAGATAACCACCTGTCAGTAACCATGCAGGGAGGTCTAATCCCTCAGGGCCAAACTAGTGCAGACAGGCTTTAACACTATGTACGTCATACATTCCTCTCTTACAGTGGTGACAAGTTTACAATATTAAAGAGAAGGTTGAGTTCTGGGAAGAGGTAAACAATAATTTGTGAGCGTTATCATTCTTATTATGCAAGTGTGGAAGAACATGCCTTCATATTCTAAATATGTCATGTAACATCGTAAAACTCGGGGGTGGGATTTTTACGCCACGTGTTTGTGTAGTCCCATATACATCTTTCTGTGTACAGTGTTTGTAACTTTACCAAGACTTGGCCAAATTTCTTATAATTTTGATGATTTCAGAACCTTGCAATACACACAAATTCTTATATGCTAGATGATCAACCTTTTCTGTTCGATTCCACACCGTTTATTTCACAATGCAATCACATGACCAGAACTCAACTTCATCTTTAAGCTTAATGAAGGGGTATGCAAGAACTTCATTGCACAATGAATGCCCAAAGGATAACATTTCATTCTCTTGTTTCCATGATTTTAAAATTTTAAGATTGTAAGATTGTAGATTTCAGATTTTAGATTTCAGATTTTAGATTTCAGATTTTAGATTTTAGATTATGCTGAATAAGTCCAAATTCATACTTGATGATGTATACTGATGTGCAAAGTCTCGATAAATTACATACCTCAAATGACGGTCATGATCAAATGATTTATTAAGTTGATTTAACTATAACTATTAAATGAAGTGACATTCATATTATGTGATTATCATTTGCAGAACTGTCTATTTTTGCAAATAGTTTTTTTTTAAATGAGTGATGCAATAGTGTAGTGTTGAATACAATACTGTAGAAATACATACTTAGCATAATTATGTACAGGTCTGTATTTTTCTACCCAATATCTATTAAATTATTGATTGCACTGGATTATTTCACTGTTTATTGTCATTTGAAGAAAAAAAAGGTAATAAGAAAAGGAATACATGTAGAATGTGGAAGAGGGGAATAGGGAGCTGAGAGCGGGAGATAGATAGATAGATAGATAGATAAATGGTATTTTATTGCATCTTTCATGAATGGCAGTTTCACAACTGAATTGCACATGAGTTACACGAATTGGATATATACATTGTAAAAAACTTACATAACATTTAATTAAAAATTATTAAAACGTGACACGTTACTACTGCCTAAATACCATAAACAATTAAAAAACACTTAATGAAAATAATTTCTACCAAAGAAAAAAGAAAAAAAGTATAAACATAATTACATGCCAACATAATATGGACTAAGGCAAATCATACAACAGTTCGTCATGTTACAATATTGCAGTAGTGGGTATGGTGGTAAAATAATCAATGGTAGCGGCAAAAGCAGGTGTATGAACATTTAGTAATATTTGAAATAATTCTTCAAATTTAAAAGTAAAAAGCAATTCAATATCATTAAAACATACCGGTACGATATACACAATTATTACAAGAATGTACAGGAATCGAGTCATTTCAATGATAAATCATTACAATAAATATAAACATGAGCAAATTAACTGTTATTATACAGGTGAATCAAATTTGGAATAGGACTATTTTGCATGCGACTGGTTTAACATTTAAAATCCGGAATTTTCTTTGAATTTCTAAGTGTTCTAGTACAATGTTTTTGTGGGAGAAATTGTTTAAATTGATCAGTGAGTGATAATGTTTTTTGAAAGAAAGTAGTACATAAATATTGGCGTCTTTCATCTAATCTTTGTAATTGGGATTGTGCGAGTGAAATTGTATAGTTATCATAATCCCTCCGAAAAATTATCCGCAACGCTCTCTTTTGAACTCTCTCCAATCTCTCGTTTTGGTATTGCGTGAGTCCTCCACTCCACACAGGACTGGCATATTCAAGTAAGGGGCGAATATAACCCACAAAAACAGTAATAAGGTCTTCCTTTGGAAGACCATATTTCACCAGAGAACGTAGCATGTATAGTTTGGCACTTGCCCTTTTTTCAATGTCTTTTATGTGAGCATCCCATTTTAAATTATTCTGTATATTAATTCCTAGCAATTTAACTTCACTCACTGTTTCCAATAAACAATTCTCTAAAATTATACTAGTTTGATTAACGGGTGCCCTAGAGAAACAAATATCCATTTTCAAACATTTTATAGGATTTAATTTCATGTTATTAACATTAGCCCAGACAGAAAGATTGTCAGCAGCTTCCTGCATTTGAGAATCTTGGGCTAGTTTGCGGCACTCAATCATTGTAAGGTCATCAACATATTTAAAAATGTGAATGTTATTATTTAATTGAAAGTCATTAATCATAACTAGAAAAATTAAAGGACCCAGTTTCGTCCCCTGAGGGACACCAGCATTAATAGTACATGAATCAGATAAAACACCATGGTAACGAACACATTGAGTTCGACAAGAAAGGAAGTCACATATCCAAGTGATTGCTGAGGATCGGACCCCTATTAGATGTAACTTGCTTATAGCGACAGTGTGGTCAATTCGATCAAAAGCTTTCTTAAAGTCAGTTAAAAGAATTGTTGAAGACGTTTTAGAATTTTCGGCATTTAAATACAAATTATGAAGAATATTAATTAAACAATGAGATGTTGATAAACATTTTCTATTACCAAATTGAAACGGGTCAATTTGTTGTCCAATGTCCTGAGATATCCATTTTGCCATAAAACCTTCAATAACTTTGGCAAAATGATCGGTCAAAGATATCGGCCTTAATTTATCAATACTCGGTGGACTTGTTTTGGGGATGGGAACAACAATTGCATGTTTCCAAACATCAGGAACCTTCCCGCAATTAAAGGAGGTGTTGATTATACGAGCCAATGGCTCTGCAAGTTCAACAGAGAACTGGCGGATGAGCCGCGCAGAGATGCCATCTGGGCCACTTGAAGTTGAACTTTTAATTTGAGAAAGAGCTCTGTTTACTTGCCACGGTTGGACTACCGGAAGATTTTGCGATGACGGCAAGTATGATGGTAGAGCAGCGAGATCAAGTTTTTTCAGATCAGAAGATACAGATACAAAATGATTATTAATGGCATTAGCGATTATGCCACTCTCTTCAGGGTTCACACCTGCAACTGGGATGTTAGGTGAACCTTTGCGCTGTCCTGTAAGAACGCGTATTTCGCGATACCAGCGAGAAGGGTTACTCTTTTTATGTCTCTGAACACGGGTGGCATGATAGAAAACTTTAGCATTTTCAATAGATGATTTAACTTTATTACGTAATCGCTTCCATAAGGTATGATTCCCCTGGTCATGTGCAACTTGTCTCCTATGAATTAGTGACTAGAAGAAGAATAGGGAGCTGAGAGAGAGGGAGGGAAAAAGAAAAATAAAGAGCTGAGAGAGGGAGATAGAAGAAAAGGGAGCTGAGAGAGAGGGGAAAAGATGAAGAGGGATAAAGAAGAATAAAGAGCTGAGAGAGGGAGATAGAAGAATAGGGAGCTGAGAGAGAGGGAGGGAAAAAGAAAAATAAAGAGCTGAGAGAGGGAGATAGAAGAAAAGGGAGCTGAGAGAGAGGGGAAAAGATGAAGAGGGATAAAGAAGAATAAAGAGCTGAGAGAGGGAGAAAGAAGAATAGGGAGCTGAGAGAGGGAGATAGTAGAATAGGGAGCTGAGAGAGGGAGAAAGAAGAAGAGGGATAAAGAAGAATAAAGAGCTGAGAGAGGGAGAAAGAAGAAGAGGGATAAAGAAGAATAAAGAGCTGAGAGAGGGAGATAAAAGAATAGGGAGCTGAGAGAGAGGGAAAAAGAAGAACAAAGAGCTGAGAGAGGGAGATAGAAGAAAAGGGAGCTGAGAGAGGGAGATAGTAGAATAGGGAGCTGAGAGAGGGAGATAGAAGAAAAGGGAGCTGAGAGAGGGAGATAGTAGAATAGGGAGCTGAGAGAGGGAGATAGAAGAAAAGGGAGCTGAGAGAGGGAGATAGAAGAAAAGGGAGCTGAGAGAGGGAGATAGTAGAATAGGGAGCTGAGAGAGGGAGAAAGAAGAAGAGGGATAAAGAGGAATAAAGAGCTGAGAGAGGGAGATAGAAGAATAGGGAGCTGAGAGAGAGGGAAAAAGAAGAACAAAGAGCTGAGAGAGGGAGATAGAAGAAAAGGGAGCTGAGAGAAGGAGATAGTAGAATAGGGAGCTGAGAGAGGGAGATAGAAGAAAAGGGAGCTGAGAGAATGATAGTAGGATAGGGAGCTGAGAGAGGGAGATAGAAGAAAAGGGAGCTGAGAGAGGGGGATAGAAGAAAAGGGAGCTGAGAGAGGGAGATAGTAGAATAGGGAGCTGAGAGAGGGAGAAAGAAGAAGAGGGATAAAGAGGAATAAAGAGCTGAGAGAGGGAGATAGAAGAATAGGGAGCTGAGAGAGAGGGAAAAAGAAGAACAAAGAGCTGAGAGAGGGAGATAGAAGAAAAGGGAGCTGAGAGAGGGAGATAGTAGAATAGGGAGCTGAGAGAGGGAGATAGAAGAAAAGGGAGCTGAGAGAATGATAGTAGGATAGGGAGCTGAGAGAGGGAGATAGAAGAAAAGGGAGCTGAGAGAGGGAGATAGAAGAAAAGGGAGCTGAGAGAGGGAGATAGAAGAAAAGGGAGCTGAGAGAGGGAGATAGTAGAATAGGGAGCTGAGAGAGGGAGATAGAAGAAAAGGGAGCTGAGAGAGGGAGATAGAAGAAAAGGGAGCTGAGAGAGGGAGATAGTAGAATAGGGAGCTGAGAGAGGGAGAAAGAAGAAGAGGGATAAAGAAGAATAAAGAGCTGAGAGAGGGAGATAGAAGAATAGGGAGCTGAGAGAGAGGGAAAAAGAAGAACAAAGAGCTGAGAGAGGGAGATAGAAGAAAAGGGAGCTGAGAGAGGGAGATAGAAGAAAAGGGAGCTGAGAGAATGATAGTAGGATAGGGAGCTGAGAGAGGGAGATAGAAGAAAAGGGAGCTGAGAGAGGGAGATAGAAGAAAAGGGAGCTGAGAGAGGGAGATAGTAGAATAGGGAGCTGAGAGAGGGAGAAAGAAGAAGAGGGATAAAGAGGAATAAAGAGCTGAGAGAGGGAGATAGAAGAAAAGGGAGCTGAGAGAGGGAGAAAGAAGAAGAGGGATAAAGAGGAATAAAGAGCTGAGAGAGGGAGATAGAAGAAAAGGGAGCTGAGAGAGGGAGAAAGAAGAAGAGGGATAAAGAGGAATAAAGAGCTGAGAGAGGGAGATAGAAGAAAAGGGAGCTGAGAGAGGGAGATAGAAGAAAAGGGAGCTGAGAGAGGGAGAAAGAAGAAGAGGGATAAAGAGGAATAAATAGCTGAGAGAGGGAGATAGTAGAATAGGGAGCTGAGAGAGGGAGATAGAAGAAGAGGGATAAAGAAGAATAAAGAGCTGAGAGAGGGAGATAGAAGAATAGGGAGCTGAGAGAGAGGGAAAAAGAAGAAAAAAGAGCTGAGAGAGGGAGATAGAAGAAAAGGGAGCTGAGAGAGAGGGAAAAAGAAGAATAAAGAGCTGAGAGAGGGAGATAGTAGAAAAGGGAGCTGAAAGAGGGAGATAGATTAACAGGGAGCTAAGAAAGGGAGAAAGAAGAAGAGGGATAAAGAAGAATAAAGAGCTGAGAGAGGGAGATAGAAGAAAAGGGAGCTGAGAAAGGGAGAAAGAAGAAGAGGGATATAGAAGAATAAAGAGCTGAGAGAGGGAGATAGTAGAATAGGGAGCTGAGAGAGGGAGATAGATTAACAGGGAGCTGAGAAAGGGAGAAAGAAGAGAGGGATAAAGAAGAATAAAGAGCTGAGAGAGGGAGAATGCAGATGAAAGAGGAAGGGTGAACGATAACTAAGTTTTAACAGGCGCAGTAAGGGGAGAGAGAAAGAGAGGGGGAGAAGCATGGGTTCACAGAAGTGGGGGCGGGGGAGGGGAACAGACAGACGGAGGAGATCAGAGTGATATAGAAAGGATGACAGAGATAGAGGAGATCAGAGTGATATAGAAAGAATGAGAGAGATAGAGGAGATCAGAGTGATATAGAAAGGATGAGAGAGATAGAGGAGATGAGAGTGATATAGAAAGAATGAGAGAGATAGAGGAGATCAGAGTGATATAGAAAGAATGAGAGAGATAGAGGAGATCAGATTGATATAAAAAGGATGAGAGAGATAGAGGAGATGAGAGTGATATAGAAAGGATGACAGAGATAGAGGAGATGAGAGTGATATAGAAAGGATGAGAGAGATAGAGGAGATCAGAGTGATATAGAAAGGATGACAGAGATAGAGGAGATCAGAGTGATATAGAAAGGATGACAGAGATAGAGGAGATCAGAGTGATATAGAAAGGATGACAGAGATAGAGGAGATCAGAGTGATATAGAAAGGATGACAGAGATAGAGGAGATGAGAGTGATATAGAAAGAATGAGAGAGATAGAGGAGATCAGAGTGATATAGAAAGAATGAGAGAGATAGAGGAGATCAGAGTGATATAGAAAGGATGAGAGAGATAGAGGAGATGAGAGTGATATAGAAAGGATGACAGAGATAGAGGAGATGAGAGTGATATAGAAAGGATGACAGAGATAGAGGAGATCAGAGTGATATAGAAAGGATGACAGAGATAGAGGAGATCAGAGTGATATAGAAAGGATGACAGAGATAGAGGAGATGAGAGTGATATAGAAAGAATGAGAGAGATAGAGGAAATCAGAGTGATATAGAAAGGATGACAGAGATAGAGGAGATGAGAGTGATATAGGAAGGATGAGAGAGATAGAGGAGATCAGAGTGATATAGAAAGGATGAGAGAGATAGAGGAGATGAGAGTGATATAGAAAGGATGAGAGAGATAGAGGAGATCAGAGTGATATAGAAAGGATGAGAGAGATAGAGGAGATGAGAGTGATATAGAAAGGATGACAGAGATAGAGGAGATCAGAGTGATATAGAAAGGATGACAGAGATAGAGGAGATCAGAGTGATATAGAAAGGATGACAGAGATAGAGGAGATGAGAGTGATATAGAAAGAATGAGAGAGATAGAGGAGATCAGAGTGATATAGAAAGAATGAGAGAGATAGAGGAGATCAGAGTGATATAGGAAGGATGAGAGAGATAGAGGAGATCAGAGTGATATAGAAAGGATGAGAGAGATAGAGGAGATCAGAGTGATATAGGAAGGATGAGAGAGATAGAGGAGATGAGAGTGATATAGGAAGGATGACAGAGATAGAGGAGATGAGAGTGATATAGGAAGGATGACAGAGATAGAGGAGATCAGAGTGATATAGAAAGGATGACAGAGATAGAGGAGATCAGAGTGATATAGAAAGGATGAGAGAGATAGAGGAGATGTGAGTGTTATAGGAAGGATGAGAGAGATGGGCGATTAGAGATATAAATGGGGAGGACATGGATTGGAGTGGTACCTAATGAGAGAGAGAGAGAGAGAGAGAGAGAGAGGGAGGGCAAATAAAGGGGAGAGACAGAGGATACTACCCCCACACACACGGATGACAGAGATAGAGGAGATCAGAGTGATATAGGAAGGATGACAGAGATAGAGGAGATGAGAGTGATATAGAAAGAATGAGAGAGATAGAGGAGATCAGAGTGATATAGAAAGAATGAGAGAGATAGAGGAGATCAGAGTGATATAGGAAGGATGAGAGAGATAGAGGAGATCAGAGTGATATAGAAAGGATGACAGAGATAGAGGAGATCAGAGTGATATAGGAAGGATGAGAGAGATAGAGGAGATCAGAGTGATATAGAAAGAATGAGAGAGATAGAGGAGATGGGAGTGTTATAGGAAGGATGAGAGAGATGGGCGATTAGAGATATAAATGGGGAGGACATGGATTGGAGTGGTACCTAATGAGAGAGAGAGAGAGAGAGAGAGAGAGAGAGAGAGGGAGGGCAAATAAAGGGGAGAGACAGAGGATACTACCCCCACACACACGCACACACACACACACACACACACACACACACACATTCTCACATCACGGCCTTTGTGGGGCACCTGATTGTGGGGTATTTCTGTGCGTTCCAGATATACCTTGTGGTCCCCTACTAGTGGGGTATGTACAACCTGGCGATAACAACCCGGCGGTGTGCTTACGATGTTACCATAAAAAAGTGTGCAAGTTTTAGCACACGCTCACAAAAAGTCATTTATGGGGTACCACTTCTAATGCCCCGCAGGGCATAGGACACCGAATATACAGTCATTTGAAAGACTTTACTCTGTGGGGTCCTGAAAAAATACCCCACAAAGTAAAAATGCCTCACAAGGGGTATGTGAAGCGCACATAAAACCCCACAAGAATGCTGAGGTGAGAGCGCACACACACACATATACATCCCTTTTTTTTGGTTTAAGTAAAGCTGCTGTTACTTGAATGTTTATTTAGAACATAATGTAAACTACATCATCATCATCATCTTATTCTCCCTCCGCTATTTCGGAGATCAGCGATCCCATGGGCCGCAAGCACAAGAGTGAAGCTAACGAGTAGCATCAAGGCAATGGACTGATAGCAGTCGATCGCGATAAGTGCATCTTATAAACATAGAGCAAAGTAATAGACAGAAGTCACATCCTGAATGAAGCTCACAATAAATTGTAAAGAGAAAACAGGACACTCTTCATTCTATTTAGAGGAAGTACTTGAAAGAAGATACAATTCCATACAAGTACAGTGCATGAAAATTAGCATTTCTGAATAAGATCTTTATTTGTCGCACTTGAAACTACTTTTGATTCTAGAAATCTGTGCAGATTCGAGTGTTATCCGCACAGACTTCTAGAATAAAAAATAGACGAGTTTCAAGTGCGACGTATATCAAGCACAGTTTAAATCACCTCTCTCGCATAGTCACATTGCATCGTTTAGTGTGAGTGGAGAACAATCATCAGGATGGCGTCTGGTAAGACAATGATCTATTTTGATATGAAGTTATAATGTTTTATTATGCATGTTGTCGACAGGATGTTCGGACAGGTATGTGTAGATTCGTGGTTCAGCTTCGATCATCCTTCTATCCATTACCTCAATATCGATGACTGTGAAAACTGAAGGGAGTTATTGATAGTTCTATACCGACCTCGTGGAGTTTAGGCACTGAATTACACATACCGACCGTTTGAAGGTTTAAATCGACCTTGTAGAAGTTTAGATTTATGCATTTTAGGGAAAAACGTTCGTAATGACTTCCTTTTGATACTACTATGACAAGCAGTGACAGTGATTCTACCCTTACAACAAAAGTTCTATAGAATTCTATAAACAAATTCTATAAAATTTCTATACGCAATTCTATAGAAATGTTTTATAGAGATTCTTTAGAAAAGCGGGCCATTTACATACGAATTCTATAGAAATCTGTAACAGACCTCTTTAGAATCTCTATGAAACATTCTATAGAATGGCCTATGGAAATTCTATAGATTTTTTATATGAAATTCTATAGAACTTTTTTTGTAAAGAATTCTATAGACCATTTTTTACCAGTTGAAAACCAGTTGATTATTCAGTAGCGACCAGCAATCGATTGATAATTAATCATCAATATTGCTCGGCATCTGGCAACCGACTAAACCATATTTATATAGACTCCTGCCCCATCATAAAGATCATTTGTTGAGTATAATGTTAATTAAGTAGAACATGTTTTTACTGGTTAGTAAATTACATATATCAATATATCTATTTTACGTCTTAAGTTACATGTAAACAAATATCGGACACATATAATATATTTGCCAATGATTGACTAAGAAAATATAAATCACAAAAATTGATGTTAATTGTCACATTTGCTTGACAGATCATGATAATTACATTTTCTGTGGAAACATGCAAATTATCATGAATATGCATGAGATACATATCTTCATATAGAAAAAAAATTCTATAGAATTCTATACAGAAAACCGATTTCTATAGACAACCTAAAGCTGTATTGAAAAGTGGGGACTCCATTTTTTAAAGTAAAGATTGTTTATAGAAATTTAGATCTATAGAAAACTTATTCTATAGAAGTCTATACAAGAAACCGATCTCTATAGACAACCGTACATATTCTATAGAGAAGCGGGGACGCCATTTTTTTAAATTAAATTTTATATAGAAATTTAGATCTATAGAAAACTTATTCTATAGAATTCGATAGATGAAACCGCTTTGTATAGAGAGTCCTTAAAGTTCTATAGAAAATATGGAATTTTATAGAGTTCTATAACACTTTTTGGTAAGGGTATTGTTCGGATTATTTAGCAGAGAGAGATAGAAGTTAACATTACCATGACTGACGGCCTTTTATTATTATTATTATTATTTGTTCATCGTCTCTACAATGCTATTTGACCCCGAGCTTTTCCTTACTCACTGTCTCTTTTGTCATTGCCTTTATTTCTCCTTGCTTACCTCCTCCTTACCACTGAGTATTAATGTGAATGTGTTTGCCTCGATCACAGAGGAAACAGACTTTTCAACAATCAGCAGTGGCATGCATTGATTATTTGAACTCGAATGCCAATGCAGTAAACTCAGTTAAAGAAACTAATCTTGACAGTAAAGTACTTTCCCTTACAGACGGTAAAATTCCAGTTCTCACTGAAGGAACAAATCTCCTCCTTTTTAATGTACGGGGATTAGTGAACAAGATGGACTCTCTCCGATATTTATTATCAAACAACTCTGTTGATATATTATGTTTGAATGAAACTTTTTGCGACGGCACAATCACCGATGAGGAATTGCTCATTGACGGTCTTCGTATTGAGCGCAAAGATAGAACACGGATGGGTGGTGGCGTGGCCATATACGTTTCTGATAAAATTACTTATTTTAGAAGACAAGAATTTGAAGATCCCTCAATTGAAATGATATGCTTACAAGTTCACCTACCTTATCAAAAAAGTTTTATTATAGTTTGTATTTATAGACCACCCTCTTGCGATGTTTCATTTTATGATAGATTGGAAAACATATTAGAGAGATTAAATTGTTCACTTACCGCTTTCAATGAATTACTTATTTTAGGTGACCTAAATTGCGATTATCTCAATTTCCATAATTCAAGTACCTCTTGTAAACTTGACTTCATCATTATAATTATTGTCATAATTTGTATCGGTGTTGTTAATAACAACAGTTATTATCGTAAACATTTTCTTTATTTTTTTGTTTTATTATTCATATCATTATTATTGTTATTGCTCTTATCCACATTAACATAATTATCTTAAGTAAAACGTCATGTGCCCGCGGGGTCAAAGTGTAGTCCTAGTTTATCATTGTGGTCACGCTAGGTGTGTAGCCTTCACAATCAGTATAATCGTGGTTAAAGTGGCTTTACACAGTGATAACACTGTGTGATAGATATTGTATATTCAAATTTATAAAAAACATCTTCTATTTGGGGCTTTGATTTTAGATTGGTATTTCCAGTGTTTTCATTGTTCCACAAACTTAAAACTCTACAAAGGCAGTTCGTGCTTTTGCATGCAAAACAGAGTATGTAAATCGACCCTGTGCTTCCAATCTGCCTTACACCGCTTGTATTTCCTCGCCTGTATTTGACGTCATTTCTACACAATGTTCATGAACACTTTATCATTTCCATTACAGAATACAAGCAATTCATCAATGAAGGTTGTGACGTAGAGGGCGGTGGTTATGACAACCTTCCTAGCTACGATGAGAGTAATGCGATTTCAGGCTCAGCTCCACCTCAGAACCCTTACCCGCCTCCGAACTCTTCTGGGTATCCTATGCAACAGCCTTCTAAATCTCAGCAGGCTTCACAGTTCCCTCAGCAGCAACCAGCCACTGCTGTCCCCCAGCCGCAGGTGATTCAGGTAAAACACCTAGATGCTAGGAGAGAGAAAGAGGGATATGTATATATATATATACTGAGGGGAGGCTGGGAGAGATAAGAGAGAAAGAGAAAGAAAAGGAGTATGAAAGAGAGAGAGAGAGATAGAAAGAAAGGAGACTATGAGAGATGAGAATAAAGGGAAAGAGAGGGAAAGAGAAAAATAAAGATAGATAGATTGAGGGGAGGCTGGGAGAGATAAACGAGAAAGGGAAATAGAAGAGTAGAAGGAAAATAGAGAGAGGGGAGAGATAAAGAGAAGGGAGACTAGGAAAGATGACAAGAAAGGGAAAGAGAGGGGAAGAGTAAAGAGAGAGATATAGATCGACTGAGGGGAGACTGGAAGAGATAGGAAAGAAAGGGAAAGACAAAAAAGTTACTAACAATGGGCTATAATAAATCCCCCCAACACAAAAATACGTTGCTAGGGAAGGATCTTGAGACAATACTAAACTACATGGTGTTGCATATACAATCATGATAATAGCCTTAGCAGGGAAATATGAATAACTATTATATACAATCATGATAATAGCCTCAGCAGGGAAATATGAATAACTATTATATACAATCATGATAATAGCCTCAGCAGGGAAATATGAATCACTATTATATACAATCATGATAATAGCCTCAGCAGGGAAATATGAATAACTATTATATACAATCATGATAATAGCCTCAGCAGGGAAATATGAATAACTATTATATACAATCATGATAATAGCCTCAGCAGGGAAATATGAATAACTATTATATACAATCATGATAATAGCCTCAGCAGGGAAATATGAATCACTATTATATACAATCATGATAATAGCCTCAGCAGGGAAATATGAATAACTATTATATACAATCATGATAATAGCCTCAGCAGGGAAATATGAATAACTATTATATACAATCATGATAATAGCCTCAGCAGGGAAATATGAATCACTATTATATACAATCATGATAACAGCCTCAGCAAGGAAATATGAATAACTATTATATACAATCATGATAATAGCCTCAGCAGGGAAATATGAATTACTATCATATACAATCATGATAATAGCCTCAGCAGGGAAATATGAATATCTATTATATACAATCATGATAATAGCCTCACTAGGGAAATATTAATAATTATATACCTCACTTAAGAAATCCAGCCATCTGATTGGTCGAATTGCATTCATAAACTTCAACTGTTCCTGTAAAATTCTCGGTAACCATGCATAAAACATTTCACTATTTTTAATAACCATGGTTATTAAAAATAGTTGGTCAGCGTCCATGGTTACCCCATAGGTTTACATGTTAAAAAATGGTTTGAGCGATGGAGGACCGTATGTGTGCGAAGAATCGGTCGGTAATTTCAATACAATTGAATCTCGATCGATCTTACCGACAATTTTATCTTGCATTGTTGACATGAAGACGAAAATAAACTTCCAAAAACAAAAAAACATTATCTGCCGATAGATCTTGATATAATTTCGTGCCAATATGCATTGCAAAAGTAAAAGAAGGGTCCGTTTAATGAAGCTTTTGCGAAGCATTCATCACGCAGAGCCGGTTTCAATCCATTTTAATGTATATATTGTACAAAACTGCCAAGCATTGTAACATAACGCGATGGCCGAGTGGTATGAGGCGCTGGTTATAGATGCATCACTTATTGGTACGCAAGAGTTCGAGTCCCGTCGTCGAAAAAAATAAAAAAAAAATTATTTTTATTTTTTAGTCTTTTTTTTTTCGGCATATAAAAGTATTAATGACTGCTTTAATATTCGAGAAATAGTTGTTTTCATACGCTCTCGGGAAGGTTACAATTGGGCTATTCCCCTCGGCAAGCCTCGGGGAATAGCACAATTCTAACCTTCCCTTGAGCGTAATAAAACAACTATTTCTCTCAAAGCAGTCATTAATACTATACTATTATATACAATCATGATAATAGCCTCAGCAGGGAAATATGAATAACTATTATATACAATCATGATAATAGCCTCAGTAGGGAAATATTAATAACTATTATATACAATCATGATAATAGCCTCAGCAGGGAAATATGAATAACTATTATATACAATCATGATAATAGCCTCAGCAGGGAAATATGAATAACTATTATATACAATCATGATAATAGCCTCAGCAGGGAAATATGAATAACTATTATATACAATCATGATAATAGCCTCAGCAAGGAAATATGAATAACTATTATATACAATCATGATAATAGCCTCAGCAAGGAAATATGAATAACTATTATATACAATCATGATAATAGCCTCAGCAGGGAAATATGAATAATTATATACCTCACTTAAGGCACTGGTTTTTTTTAACTTATACCAAATGTGTCCACAAATGGGTCCAAAATGAAATTATGTTTACTCACTTCAAACTTGTATTTTTAGGATCAGGACTAATCATATTTTTGAGAAATGCAAATTCTGGACCTTAATCTATTTCCTTATTTATTCACCAGATATGAATACTTTGAGTTTTTACTATTTTATTGTGAACTATAGCATATCTAATAACTGTGATATAAAACTCATTTGCTATTAACTACACCTTTAAATATGTTGGGTCTTTAAGAATATGTTTCAGAGATTATTCATGCAAATTGTTGAGTTTCTATCTTGAAAAATACAGATTTTGTATCCCTTGAAAGTGAAAAATAGCTCTAAATTAGGGTTTTGACAATAACAAGTTTTTATTTCAATAGGTAAAATGTTTTTTTCTTAGGTCAAACTTATTTTATTATAACAACTGATGATATAAGGTAAATACATGCAAAAAAATTGGGAACCAGTGCATTGCCTAATAATTTTCATATGGCACACCACTGATGTTTCGGACGTTACACACTGTTAACATTATAACTTTATTCAAGTTAATTGCTTTTCTTTAGGTATTATTGACCTCAGTTACATTAATTGTTTGCAGAAAAATACTTCTGTAACATTTATGGAAAAAAATTGTGCAGTTTTAATTAGTTTAGCACATACATGTATACCAAGTTTGTCTTAATCGACCACTCAATTTATGTAAGGTATATTATTCATTTCAAGAATGTGTACCGGTAGTTAAAAATGCTTATGTGATCTAACAGAGTGAAATATGAAGCTAATAGCAATTGTAGTCATCAAAACTCCTTAGAAAATTCACTTAGAAACATATTCTTTATTGCATGTTATGAACAACAGTGTGAAATGTATGCTATGGTTTGTTTCGGATGTTACACGATGTTAACATTTCAATGAGATCATCAATTTCTACAAACTCTACAATATAGATGTTTAATCAGCTTGCTAATGTTCTTTGCCTTCAACTATATAGTGTTTCATTCAATAATATCACTAACACATACATGTATGTAAGCACTGAAACATTGACAAATCTTTAAAAAAATAAAACTATAAAAAAGTACCCCCAGTCATGTACGGTATTTTTACGGTAATACGAAATAAGTGAATCCTAATGTATGTACATCTCGAGAATGAGACATTTTTGATGTATTTTAAAATTGTGTATGTTTTAGGTTATAATACTACTGTAGTAACAATCATCCTTTACCACTATTTGTATTAGGAGGCTGTTTCAAACGACAATATGTTTTAATGCTCTTAAATAAGTATTCATTTATTTATTTAATTGACGACCAATTGATGAATGGATGGATTGATTGGTTGGTCGGTTGGTTGGTTGATAAATCTTAACTCTTGCTGTGCCTATATTACAGGTGACAAACAATATACAGTGTACGTTAAACATGTATCGTATTTGCCGGCGATAAGGCCGCAGCGCCGCACCCCCAACTTTGACATTTCGTAGAGGAAAAAAAAAACGGACAGCCCATTTATATTTCACACTAGTGTAGGGTTGCGGTTCTAACAGATAATTACTAGCACTCTTAACACAGAGGCAGTCCAGCAGACATGTTGTAGGATTGATAACTACTAGCTAACTGACCAGGTTTTAATGTGTAAAAGCATTACAGCATTCTATGTAGCATTCCACATACATTCCATGCAAAGTAGAATAAATCAATAAATATTCATATAGTCCCATACAAATATAAATCAACATCACAAAGTATTCCTGAATATTCAAACATAAACAAAGGGTATATATTGAATATTCATAGTATATGTAAATTATACAACATAAGCTTGACTGCATCAGGTAAACATTGAAACCAATGAGAGAGAGAGATAGACAGATGAAAGGATGGTGGATGAAAAGGGTGAATGTGAATGAGGGATGACCTATTAATATGAAAGGGATGAATCATGGATATATGAAGGGGAGTTTCAGAAGTTCAAAATAAATCCCTACACTAGCTTATACATTTTGTATGTATGCATACATTTGAGGAAGATACTACATGTATATGTTTAGGATCATTAAATAAGGTATTACTGGTAATGCCCTTTTCTTTTATACATGTATGTACTTTCTACACAGATTAGTTACGTGTACTGAGTGACCTTTTTAAAAGGTATTTTTAAATGAAAATCCATATTTCCCATAAATGTTTAGAAAAACATTTTAATTTGCTTGATTTTATCAACTTCATATACCTGTATCATATCCATGTCATGACCATGCACACTGGGTATTGCTTTAGTGGGTGATTTTGATTTGTGTAACCTACCAGATAGTTTAGATTGACCATACAATCTTTGGTTATATGACATAATTTGGAACAACCTCTGTAAAAATGAAAACGTGATGATTTGCAAAGACACAGCAATGTAAATAGCAAAAGGAGAGGTTGAACACATAACATTTGCTATTCTCACATCTATCTTTGCCCCTCATTTGAACTAGTTAAAGTATGAAAATGTCTGTTAACATTTTAGTGTAACATCCGAAACGTGCTACTGCATAAAAGAGAGTGCTGTTAAAATGGCTGAATAATTTTTATGAGTCACTTATATTGAGATTGTTTCTGACAAATTACAATTAAGGATATACTAAAGCAGCCAGGAATGCCTTGCACCACAAAGTGTGGCTTCAATATTTATGTTTTATAAGTCAATTTTGCAGAAAATTTGATTTTTTGCATCATATTTCTTCATATTTTTATATTTAGATCTAAATGAAATTATCAAAATAGTGTTTTTAACAGGAGTCTGCATTGTGAAATCGTAACTTGCACATATGATAGAAAATTAGTTGAAATTTGCAAACTATGTGTTAAAAAACCCTTCTTGAGTTTACACAAAATTATTGGATTTGAAAGACCTGATTTGTGTTTTGACTTGTGTAAAGACTTATAATAACTTATTTCATAATGATTTATTCACTCTAGATACCTTAAAATATGGATTATTATCATTTTATTGGTATTTTTTGTTTCGGGCGTTACATTTGTTTCGGACGTTACAACTGTTAACGGAAAATTGGTTTTAACTATAAAATAGTATTGTAGTAATGTATTGCAGATTTCTTTGTTTTGGTGGGTAGCTGCCATGAGAAGTTAACAAAATGTTATGATAGATATATCCTGCTGTTCATATATTTTCTGCTACTTCAACTTGAAAATTGTTTCGGACGTTACAAAACTGTTTACGGAAAATGAGACGACTTTTTCAAATTTTAAGTATATTTCTAACATAAGCGCTACTATAATTAAATTATATTTTCTTTTAATATAATCACTTGGAGCAACTAATAAACTTACTCAAACCATATACAATCTCATTAATTTGTTGTTCTAGTGGGTTAAATGAGGGTCTACATTGTTTACGGAAAATGTAACGTCCGAAACGCCATTTTCAATTGCACTTTTCCATTAAAATAGGGGAGTTGATTCAGATTACTGTTAAGTTTCTTTAAGATCCACTCATGCTCATTAATCATCAATAGAAAACAAAACATATTGTTTGTGGCTATATATTTTTTCAGCTCCGACCAAAATGGCATGTCAATTTTGTTACAAAATTCCGTAAACAATTTGCTGTTCAGGGATACCTCATGCGCATAAAGCAACGATGAAAATTTTTCGTTGAGCTATGGGAGGCTAACCTAGGTCCATGCTATTTGAAAAAGTTGTTACTGATTTCTAGTTCTTTATCTTTGGAAAGTTTCAGGCTCTCAAAGGGCCATTTAGGTATTTGGTCATAGTTAAAAAAAACCAGTGCCTTAAGTAATCCAGCAATCTGATTGGTCGAAATTGCATTCATAAACTTTAACTGTTCCCGAAAATTTCCGGTAACCATGGTTAAAAAACAGTTCAAAATCCCAATAATCATGGTTATTTGGAAAATAGGTCAGTCTCCATGGTTACCCCATAGGTTTACATGCTAAAAAATGGTCTGAGCGATGGAGGATACCAGACGTGTGCGAAGAATTGGTCGGTAATTTCAATACAATTGAATCTCGTTCGATCTTACCGACAATTTTATCTTGCATTGTTGACATGAAGACGAAAATAAACTTCCAAAAACAAAAAAACAACATCTGCCGATAGATCTTGATCTAAGTTTGTGCCAATATGCATTGCAAAAGTAAAAGAAGGGCCCGTTTAATGGAGCAGCGGCGAAGCATCGACCACGCGAAGCCGTTTTCAATTTATTTTAATGTATATATTAAAGAAAACTACCTTACATGGTGACAGAGCGCGCTGGGCGAGCGGTTTGAGGCGCTGACTTAGTTACATCACCTTTTGTACGCAAGAGTTCGAATCCCATCTTCGACAAAAGTTTTTTTCTTTTCTTTTTTTTTTTTTTTTTTTTTTTTTCGGCATATCAAAGTATTAATGACTGCTTTAATATTCGAGAAATAGTTGTTTTTATACGCTCTCGGGAAGGTTACAATTTGGCTATTCCCCTCGGCACGCCTCGGGTAATAGCACAATTCTAACCTTCCCTTGAGCGTATAAAAACAACTATTTCTCTCAAAGCAGTCATTAATACTATACTATTATATACAATCATGATAATAGCCTCACAGGGGAATATGAATATATATTATATACAATTATGATAATAGCCTCAGCAGGGAAATATGAATAACTATTATATACAATCATGATAATAGCCTCACAGGGGAATATGAATAACTATTATATACAATCATGATAATAGCCTCAGCAAGGAAATATGAATAACTATTATATACAATCATGATAACAGCCTCAGCAAGGAAATATGAATAACTATTATATACAATCATGATAATAGCCTCAGCAGGGAAATATGAATAACTATTATATACATGTAGCATGACGTAGGTATTTATTCCGCCATTGTCATTGGGAGTTGGTATTTCTTTAGATTGATGAATGGTTTTATTTAGTGCTACTGGCTATCGCTCCTTGATCCAATCGAAACTACTTTTAAGTGGTATATTTTTCGATAGATGAGTGTTTGAAGAGATTGAAGAGATTGGGAGAGAGACGGGAGAGCGTGAGAAAGGAATGAGTCCTCGTATTATTTTAATTGTTGGGATTATTAGTTAATAATTGCTTCATTCGTGTCAGCTACATGAAGGCAAGAGACATTTTTTTATTCTCCAAACATTTACGCTTGGTTTCTATGATCTATACCTACGAAATTATGTTGCTCTATATTGCTCTGTTGCATGTATTTAGAATTACTTGGAGAATATCATTAGAGAAAATAAATTAAACCCTCAAACTCTGTTATTGAGGGGGGAAGGGGAAAGAGGAGAGAGAAAGAGAGTGAGAGAGAGAGAGAGAGAGAGAGAGAGAAAATTCAACAGCAATTGACGATGATTATAAAATATAAAATTAACCTCAATCCACTATGATAATTACTGTATTCCTTCTAAAATCATTTTAATTTTTAATAAATAATTATGTAGGCCAGGAGATGGAATCTTTGTTAAATACATGTGATGGTGCTATGGGTGCCATACCTCTGACAAGTATTTTGTCTTAATTAACACGGTTACTATTGGTTAATAAGTGTGCATAAAACTTGGTAGATGTACCGGTATTACACATATTAATCACGTAAGCCGATAATACCTATTACGTAAAGCTGCCATCTTGTCACCCAAGGCTCGGTAGAACAGCATTATAATCTTAGGCTAACGATTTACCTTATAATTGTGAATTCAAACAGGTACCGATGGAACAGAACATAGTTCATGCAAACATGGAGACAATGCCGAATGACTACTTTGGTTCAGCTCTCTTTGTCACAATGTGCTGCTGTTTGCCGTTTGGGATTGTAGCTCTCATCAAATCTACTGAGGTATATATGATGGACTATCTAACCAGACTAAACAAACCCTGTGACCTCGGTCAATTCCCCTATCAGACAGTACCCTGGGAAAAAACATTTTTACATTTGCAGTCCATTGAAAACTACGAAGATGTAATGTTATCATAGATATTCGTTGTCGGGGTCCCGGGGAGGGGGGGGGGGATTTTAAGTAGGTAGATTTATATTTCGTAAAGTATACCAATATTCTTATAAATGCATGTAATTGTGTGTCGTATGTGTTCATTCCAGCCAAATGTTTCATCATTTAAGGACCTTACAACATTTGAATTCCTCTTATTTACGTTCAGATGGTATATCATCAATTACAATATATTTTCCTTATAATATAACGAAAATGTGGAGCGCATTTATTATTTCTAATCCAGTATGCTACTTTGAGTTATTATATATAAATTAAGAGTATGAATAAGGGCAGTTAAATACACGATAAAAGGGATGATGCATTAGTTCTATCATTAATATAGAATAAGAAAATAAGGGGACCTAATAAAATGATCCTTGTGGGACTCCACATTTAATTGTTAGATATTCCGATGAAAAGTTGCACCGCATACTGAATGCGTTTCCGGCATGATGAATAATCTCTAAACCATGTGAGAGCAACTCCTTGAATTCCATAAACTTGAAGCTTTTAAAGCAAAATATTTAAACTTAGCATATCAAAAGCTTTTGATAAATACAGGACAACTCCCATTACATGTTGGTGTTTTTTGTGTTGCGAAAACCTGCTAAAATAGCAAGCTCACACGTGCTGGTATATATTATATTACACAACTTCCTGGTAAATTCCCCAGTTTACCACAGTGTAAATTGTCAAGTAGTGATGTCAGATTGACGAAGTATGCTATTAGGATTTTTTTTACAGGATAATTTCCAAGGGACAGTTCTCCGATGATTCCTTTGGTTTGTAATTGCCTATGGGGAAAAAAACACATAGTATTTGATACAAAATGTTTGTTGCTCTTGTTGGTGTTGGTTTGGTGGTGGTGGCTGTTGGCGTTGATGTTTAAAAAAAAGCATGAACAAAATCGGGGTAGTCATTCAATCTCTTTGTTATATTGGGTACTGATCCTCACTAATCTTCTGCTATTTTTCGTATACATGACATGACATGAGTGTTGTATTTTCTTGCTTTATCTGAAGGTAAAAAACCGTTCAGCAGTGGGGGACTACCATGGCGCCGCTAAAGCATCTCTTGAAGCGGAACGTTGGTGCAAAATCGGATTTTCGTTTGGCTGTATTTTAGTGGTTGTTTCTGTACTTGTTAGCGTTTTGTCTTCCACATTAGGGTCATCCTCTGGATCCTATTAGAAACATAAAGAGGAAAAGAAGAAGGAGAGGGGACCATGATAAGACAGGAAGAAGGGCAGCATAGTTGAGAACCTTATTGTTTTTATCTCAATTAGTTTTTATTCACGACCACAACCCTCGATGATATAGAGTCTCGCAAGAATCTGGCAAAGGACCACTTTCTTTTCTTTTCATCTCCAAGTAGTCTCCAAACGGTAGAAAGGGCAAGAGAGAGAGAGAGAGAGGGCGGCTCAGAAAGGATCATTTTTAAATGTTTACTGATATCTGTTACAATACGATACTTAATCTTGAATCACTTTTTTTAAACGGGAGAAAATACTTTAATATAAATAAGATGTCAGTACTACATATTCTGTCATTTTCTTCAACGGGATGGCAATTTCTAGTTCTCACATAATTATTCTGAATTTGTAAACAATACAATATTCATTGTAATGTGCTAGACTATTATTAATGAATTATTTTGGCTTTGCCTTTAAAATAGAAGCATATTTGCAAATACCCATCTGAGAAAAATATTGATTACCCAGAAGAAATTATTAGCAACATGAGAATATTAACTAAGGTGTGTAAACTAATTCATAAATTGTGTGTTGACAAACTTTTGAAGTTCCAGTTTCCCAAAGGAAAGGGAAAGATATCCTTTTCAAATCAGTTATTAATTGGAATAAAATTTCCATCATTCCTTTTAATTGTTCTTTTTTCGATATCATTAAGGTATTTTCAGTTGAAAATAGCTCAAAATATTCTTGGTGTCAATAAGTATTTAAATACTATTAGTATACTCCATTCTGATTTATGTACTTTTTGTTCAGAAGACATTGAATCTATGAAACACTTATTTTGAAATGCCACGTAGCTCGTCCATTCTTAAAAGATTTAAACAAAACATATCTTACAAAATTATTAAAATTAAGTTAACATGTAATGACTTCATTTTGGCATCCCATGTGAAAATTATTCCGTATTTAATTTCGTTATTTTGTATGTAAAATATTATTTATTTTCAACTAGACATTTGAAGGGATCTTTATCATTTCCATGTTTTCAAGAGAAATTGAAATATCATTATGAAGTTGAACAAACAATCTATGCACAACACGATAGGTTTAATTCCTGATAGATGGAGGTATGTCTAACTTATCTAAATACTAGAATCTTGTTTTGCTTTGTGCCTTTCTTTGTCATATGTATGTATCCATCATATTCATTTGCTTAATATTTTGTTTTGCTATTAGAAAAATTGAATAAATTCTTTATTTGAAGAACAAAATAAAACACGGACCAATGTCTTCTAACACGATACAAGAAACACGATATTGGCTGATGCAACTTGACTTCTGTACATCCACTTGTTTGATCATATTCATTAAAGATACTATGTATATGCGGTCCTTATATCAGATCATGAATATGCATGTCAGTGAACGTCCAATGAGGAGAATGTTCATTGCCTTGGGTAAAACCCGAGCATAACCTCTATGAGTGTGAACAGACAAGCGGTCCATGATCCAGGAAGCGATCTTCTGGACCGGTTCGCTTCCTAGATCGCCCCAGACCAGCCGCGTACACAGGGGGGGGGGGGGGGGGGGGGGGGGGGGGGGGGGGGGGGGGTTTAACCCCTCCCCCCCCTTTGGTATTTTTGTGTGTGTAAACCCCCTATAACCCCCCAACCCCCAACCCCACTTTGGTTTTGGGTTGTTTTTTTTAATTAAAAAAAAAAATTCCCATGGCTGACCTATAAAAGCTGACCTTACCCCACCCCCCAACGGAGCAAAATGTCAAATTTCTAAATTTCGAGACAAAAAAAAAAGTGTCCTCTTACCCCCCCCCCCCCCCCCTGCTTATTCAGCGCCTGGCTGAGTCGTTGCGAAATTTTCGGCCCGATTTATGAATGTTAAAACCTCCCCCCCCCCCCCCCCCCTTGGAAAAATCCTGCGTACGCTCCTGCCCCAGACTGATCTAGCGTGCAAGTGGGAACATAAACCGTGCCAGGAAGCGATCTTCAACCGGAAGTGAGTGTGTTTTGGCGGGAAAGTAATGAAAGAGAGAAAGATATTACAGTACAAGAATAACATAATAAAATAGTATAATGAAAGATAAAGAGGAAAAAACGGAGATAGAATGATTAAAAACATAGAATAACATAAGAGAAGATGATAAAAGGAACAAACGAAGAATAACATAAGGAAAGACAGAAAGAAAAAGTGATAAAGAATAGCTAATGGAAAGATAGAAGAGAAGATGAAAGATGCAACAAAAACACAATCATACAAAACAGAATGAGACAATGATAGAAGGAAAACAAAGAATAACATGACGAAAGATAGAAAAAAATAAGGGATAGAAAAATAAACGAAGAATAACATAAGAAGTGAAACAAGGAAAAACAATGACTAACATCAGGAAGACAGAAATAGAGAATGATAACTAATAGAAAATTCAACGATAGAAAAGAAGATGTAAGATAGTAAAACAAAGAATAGAACATAAGAAAAATAGAAAAAGAAAGTGATAGAATGATAAAAAATAACATAGCAGAAGATGAGGCACTCTACTCAGTTTTGAATTCCGCGCGAAATATTTGACCCGCTGGCCTTTACAACCCCATCAACAGGAGCGGTCTAACTCGTTCGCACTATACCAAAGCAACACGAGCGGTCTAGTTTCTGAGTGTGAACATAAACGAAGTATACTTCTGGAGCGATCCAGTGGATCGGTTTAGCCTAGATCAGTCTAGGAGATGAGTGAGAACGGGGTCTATGATTCAACATTAGAGGCCGATATTTACAATTGCATTTCATACCGTAGAGTGTTTTAAGGAAAACCAAGTTTATTTCAATTCAACTAATTCTTAGAAAATATATATATTAGCAGGTAGTAATACTAGTGTAAAGATACACTGAAATATTTGCATATTTAATCTACAGGGTACTTCTTTGTTGTCTTCTTGTTTATAAGGATGACTGTGACGTCATATTAAAATGATGTACGTACATGGGCATCCGTGTCTAGTCACATGTAGACTATAGGGCATGGGGTCAAAAGAGCTTCCTAAAATGATTTTTGTAGTCTCCTCCTTGTGACTACCTAAACTATGGCTTAAAATGTTGGTATTGTGTGTCTTATCAATATTCTGATAGTTCCCACTTCCAGAAGTGGAGCACTTCCGAAAAAATGGCGCCCAAAACAAAAGATCTAAAAACAAGCATTCCTTCATAAAAGGACTGCATCCGGTGCAAGTGATTTTCACTAATACAGGTGGTAATTGGTTTTAATCAGTGAATGTGATACCGCTTTTGCGGTCTAAGTTCATATTTATTGTACAAAATATCTATAGGGAAGATTTAATATTTCACAAAACACTGTATAGTTGAGGAAATTTGCATGAAAATGACATTTTAAGCCAAAATACGTAAGTTTGACATTTTTCTGCAACAAAGCCTGTACAAATTTAATTATTCTGAATGAGGAAGTTCATTTACAAGCAATAAATATTACAATAAAAACAAACTACTTTGCTTTGTGCTGCTTCTTTAGTTTGATGAACAATACATACAGCATTCATTTAACTTAAGGCAGAGCCATGCTGCTGGGAGCTGTTAGGACCTGGTTCTCATAGCGCATGTTGTAGTCTGCTGGGAGCTGCATGTTACTGGTGTTATGACCTGGTTCTCCTCATCTTTAGGCTACAAAGACAAAAAATGAAAAGCTTATTAGATATTTAGCTAACTTTAAAAGAATTATTAATAGTTTTATCATGCTGCTGTATTTTAATGTGAAGGTGAACTGTGCGGCATTTCACAATACACTGTATAGTTGATGAAATTCGAATGAAAATGACATTTTAAGCTAAAAATATGTAAATTTGTCATTTTTCTGCAACAAAGCCTGTATTGATTTAACAATTATTCTGAATTACGAAGTTCATTTACAAACAATGAATATTACAGTACAAAAACAATACATACTTCTTTCATGTCACCGGTGGTAATTACGGCCGATCCATGCTGCTGGGAGCTGTTGGGACTTGGTTCTCACAGCGCATGTTGAAGTGCTGGGAGCTGTTGGGACCGGGTTCTCATAGCATATGTTATAATGCTGGGGACTGGTTCTCATAGCACATGTTGTAGTGCTGGGAGCTGTTGGGACTTGGTAGCGCATGTTGAAGTGCTGGGAGATGTTGGGACCTGGTTCTCATGTCATCATCTTAGGCTATAAAGACAAAATAGTAAAGGAAATGATAAGAATGTAAGATATTGGGCCAACTTAAAACATTTATTATTTATAGTTTTAACATGCTGCATTATTCGCCTTCGTGTTACGTGTTACGTTCAAACCTTTAACTGGATCAGGCTTTGAATCCTGAATCACAATCGAAACAAGCACTACACTTACAGGTAAGTACACTTCCGATACTCTTGTGCCTGCTGGATGTGCATGGTTTAGTTACTATGGACTTGCATAAACATTTCGCTGGCTAATAGAGTTAAACTTAAAACAATGTTTTTCAACTTCAAGTTGGTTGCTTAGCACAAAGCCTGACTGTTCTTACTAGATGATAATTATTTATTATTTATGGGATATATGAGTTTTTGCTACCTACCTGAACATGTTAAAATAACTCCTCTTCTTCAAAGTTCTCCTCATCGTCACAGTTGTCACCTTCATCAGCTTCTGCTTCTTCTTCTTCTCCAATGATTGGTTCCTCACCTGGCACAGCCATGTTGTCGCAGTTCTTGCACTCACACAGTTCTGTGCAGGGAAGGCCCAAAGGCGCACAACACTGGGCATCTACTCCTGTGACTTTACATTTGGACTTTTTGCACTTGCATGAAGTAAGTTCAAGGATGCTCTGTTGAGCAGGTTGCATATCCATCCAGTCTATTCGAAGCCCTCCATCGACCGATTGCCAACCTCGCCCAACTGGTGACGGAACATCTGGCTGGCTCTCAAGGCAGCGCCTCCAAATAGCAGTTTGATAGTTGGCCCTTTGGATGTGCTTCATGAGGGCATCCTTGTTTGGTGGCATAATGTCTTCTTGTCTCGTCGCCATGGAAAAAAAAGCATATCTTGCTTCATTCACCTTACTGATTTCCTTCATCCCATACAACTTGCAAACAAACTCCTCCAGAGTAGAAACCAGGTCATCAGAAAGGGTGAATGCTTTCCCAAGCTCCTGAAATGCCTTGATAAACTTTGTAGTCTGCGACATCAGCGTAAAGGGCTTAGTCTTCCCCCGTCCATACAAAGCACTGACGGAATCACAACCTGTGAATGGGTGCAGGCCTACGATTGCTTCGCTGATTTGATCTCCAAGATGACATTGAATGGCGTTCAAATTGATTGTCCGTTCCTTATCTTGCTTGCCAGTATGGAAATACAACTTGGAACCCTCAAGTTGGGCAGCTATGCCAATGCCAATGACGAATACGTCGGTGTCCGGGCTCTTAATGATGATGTCCTTCCTACCCATGTTGCTGATGTACTTTGCGTGTAGCATCATCCTCGTGTCGGCTTCCTCTTAAGTAGTGTATAGCTCTGGAATCGCTTCACTGACCGTGGTACCACTACGACAAGATAACTTGTGGCATTCTTCAGAATGAGCCAGATATACATCAACTCCCTTGAATTCATCCTCACCACAAGCACTCCACGACTCATATAAAAACTTGGCAAAGTGTTGCTTATTGAAGCCATTTGCTAATAATTTCTTCCATTGCTTTGGAACGGGTTGGTCTTGGTTTGTAATCTTTATACGCTGCGACCCACTTGCAGCACGCCTTTTTCTCTCTGCACCTTTGATGCTGACAGGTGGGTGTCCGTGACAAAGTGGACTTGATCAGAACTGGAGCTTCTGGCTAGGTAGACTACATCCTTCAGGATTTTCTTGGCCAACTGTCCCATGGTAGCAGGCATCCGACTTGGTATTAGGCCTTGAAGCAATGCCATACCATCAACAATCCATACTGACTCCAGCAGTCGATCCACTGTTGGGGATGACTCTGGCAAATTTTCCAACTGGTGAAGGAGGGCAGCCTTGTTGTTCTTGACCAAACATCCATCTTCTTTACAAATGGCTGGTGGGTATGTGCTTAAGGAGTAACTGAGCATCTTGCGTTGGTCAACTTTGCGTACACGGCCTATGATGATGAGCCTTGCCAGTAACTCCCGGGCGCTCTTAAGCACAACTTCTCTCCCTTTAATGTTGACTTTTGCCTTGTCAGAATCGGCAAATGTCTTAAGTTTCATCTTGGTGATGGTCTTGTTAAGATCGGTATCTCCTTGTAGTCTGGTTTTGGCAAAGTTGATGAATGCTTTGTCCCCCTTCTCGCCTGCTTTCAGAAGATCTGAGCACACACTGACTGACGCAACAATGCCTGATGAGAGATGCACAAGATCATCAGCATCTGTCTCTCGATCGACCACAAAGGGATTTGTCATGCTGTTGATGGTACTCATGATATTGGCTACATCCTGCTGGTCCCTTGTCATTCATGTAGATAATATCTTGACAGATTGTAAGGATACGACGATCTTCTGCTGCTCCTATCTTGACTTTCTCCTCTTCTTCTGGATCCTCAGAAGCACCTAAAACCCATGCTAGAAAATTGTACAGCTTGGTGGATACTATTGTGCGTGCAGAATCCAATGTTAAATCAGATGATGTTGGAGGCCATGGTAGACTGGTCCTGGTCTGCATGACATCGTCCTTTAGGTCCAGTGCAGAGGCGTAGCGATCTCGAAGTGAGGCCATTGGAGGTTTGGATCGTCTACCATTCCCGCCCTTTTGTCGCTTCGTTGGAGGTTCTATGCTTTCACCAACGTCTGTGATGTCTGTGTCAGTATCAGATAGGGCGTCTGTATCAGTGGTGGTGTCTGTTTCTTCTCCTTCAGAACCAACTGCTCCTGGCACAAGGTCTTCAGTTGATAGCGTCTCGACATACACCATTTCACTTGCATACCTCTTCTTAGGCTGAAGAAAGCAGAGTTGTGGATACTTTCGTTTCAGGCGTTGTTTTAGGCTGTAGGTCTTGTAATTTGATGCATCTTTAGACTCAACATCTTTAACAGCTTTTACAAACAATCTTCTCAGTGCTGTCATTCTATATATTTGCTTCTCTTGTATGATCTTCTTGTCTACAACATAACTGCAAAATGTAAGGAATGCCTTTCCATACTTCTGCTCCTTGATGGGCTCAACACTTTTCCTTGATTGGTAGACAGTATAGCTCCTGAAACAACTGCGATGATACCTGACCTCTATTGCTACACAGTCTCTGTCCTGGATCTGAAGAAGAATGTGGTCGTCCTTCTTGTCTTTAGCAGCTGTTGCTACTTTTCCACCATCTGGCTGTTGACACAGCATTAATGGTTCCTTCTTTTTCTTCCCCTCAGAGTCCTTATGAGTTTTATTTTGTCGACAGATGATGCAAATCTTTGGTAGAATGTGGGCAGAGACAGAGGGCTGCTTTGAAGCACCAGCAACACTGGAGTTTGACCGTAAGCGTCTTATTGCTGAGGCTGAGGACGGACCTGGAGCTTGACCGCCTGCACTTGACGTAGAAGGCTCCAATTCTGTACAAATAAATGAAAATTGAGAGAAATGGGTGATTTTCACAATTCAAATAATGTTTGAACAATTATGCAAGCAGGTTAAATAAAAATTCATAGTCATAACAGTAAAAATATAATTTATTGATTTAACAAATATCAGCTGTATTCAAAACTGTACTTATAAAGTTAAAAAAAACAGGCTGTATTGGACAGAGTTAAGCACAAGGAGAAAGAAATTAGACACTAAGACATTATATTATAATGCATTTGTATGTGAACATCCCATTTAAATTTAAGCACAATTAAAATTGTAATGTGTTCAAAGTAATCAAAGGTTAAAATTGCCACAAAAAAAAATTGGCCATAGCTTCGCTGTCTGACGGCTTTTTAGACAAAAGCCGTCAGAAAACTAAGACATTATATTATAATCATTTGTATTTGAACATCCCATTTAAATTTAAGCACAAATAAAATGTTAACCCATTGCTTACTGGAACCTGGTGGTCCCTGTGTTAAGTCTATGGGAATTAGATAATTCAGTAGTCAACGGGTTAAGGTGTTCGAAGTAGTGCTACGAAGCAATCAAAGGTTAAATTGAAGGTTAAAATTGCCCCCCCCCCCCCAAAAAAAAAAAAAAAAAAAAAAATTAAAAAAAAAATGGCCATAGCTTCGCCGTCTGACGGCTTTTTACACAAAAGCCGTCAGAAAACTAAGACATTATATTATAATCATTTGTATTTGAACATCCCATTTAAATTTAAGCACAAATAAAATGTTAAGGTGTTCGAAGTAGTGCTACGAAGCAATCAAAGGTTAAATTGAAGGTTAAAATTGCCCCCCCCCCCCCAAAAAAAAAAAAAAAAAAAAAATTAAAAAAAAAATGGCCATAGCTTCGCTGTCTGACGGCTTTTTAGACAAAAGCCGTCAGAAAACTAAGACATTGTATTATAATGCATTTGTATGTGAACATCCCATTTAAATTTAAGCACAAATAAAATTTTAATGTAGGGGTCTATTCAAATACAAAGCAATCAAAGGTTAAAAATTGCCCCCCAAAAAAATTTGCCATAGCTTCGCTGACTGACGGCTTTTTAGACAAAAGCCGTCAGAAAAATAAGAAATTATATTTATAATGCATTTGCATGTGAACATCCCATTTAAATTTAATCACAAATAAAATGTTAAGGTGTTCAAAGTATTCAGTGCTACAGACCTAGACTAATAACAAATCAATCGAAAGTTAAAATTGCCCCCCCCCCCAAAAAAAAAAAAAAAAAAAAAAAAAAAAAATGGCCAAGCCCAGTTATAGCTGAAAACTAAGTCTAGATTTCTAGGCTATTGAACACTTTTTGTTATAGGCCTCGGTCTAGAATCGATTTATTTTTAGCTGCAAATTAAGTGCAAGACTAAATTAGACCTAGCTCTGTGCTTGTTTACAACTGTGAACATTTTTGACCCGTAACTCCGGCGTGGAGATACTCTAAAATCTAGACCGTCTTCTTGTTCAAACCAGTGGCAGTGACTGTGAAAAAGTGTAGAGGTCTAGCCTAGGCCTGAGCCTCGGAAATATAGTCTACTATTAAAAAAAAAAGATTTAAAATTGACACGAAACAGATAAGAAAGATAACGACTTTTAAATCATGACCGTTATTTGAGCAACTGTGGAAGTTTTAGATGAATTTTGATGTGTTAGTCTGTAGAGTAGATCTAGGGTTTCTCCACGCCGGAGTCACGGGTCAAAAATGGTCACACTCACACTTACAGTTGTGAACAAAATTTTGAATGAAAAGAATTCGCGCAAGTTAAGTTAAATGTATGGCTTACCTAAAGTTTGACATGATGCAGCGTCTGTTTTTTGTTTGTCTTTGTTGAGTTACCCTCTCTCTTGCTTGGATGAATCTGTGAAATAGCGATAGCACGTCGGGTGATATCCACCACTTTCTGGTACTGGTAAGCCTACAGCAGTATCGACCAGTGCATCAGGTCCAACTTCGCGTAAAAAGGCTCTCGCTATATCAGCCTGATACCCCACTAAATCTTTCCAAATATTCACACTGCTTACAAATGTGTTCCACCGTGTAGTCGTGAAAGGTTTGAGATCTTCGGAAACACTAGAGCAATGAGCAAAACATCTATTTTTTGACGAATTTCGATAAGATTTTGTACCGACAGACATGATTACGGCAAACAAAGCGCCTGTATGTACACGTGACTCGCAAAAACGCAGTACCAAAGCCGGTTAATACAACTTTTCTGATTGGCGGACTAGCGATAATCTGTCATTTTGTCAATCTGATGGGCCAATCAGATGAGTTTATAGTCTTAGCAACGTAAGTGGATTAATTACGCGATTTAATTGGACGATTTTATTGCAATAATATTAACCCTTTTTCATCAAAATATTAAACAATGACCCAACTCCCAGTGTGGGAACTAACAAATTTATTTCCTAAAAATATAATGCTTATTTCTTAGATAAGTTTCAGGTAGTCACAACATGTGGAGTACAAGACAAGCGTTAAAATCGGCTCGCCCTATGGTCTATATCATTCTTCCCTATCCCTCTCACACAACCATATACACACACACACACCTTCAAACAGTGTCTACTAGCTTGAAGGTTTTACATGTTATTGGTGACGGTGACTTGTCTTGACTCACCGAATGCCACCATCGTATTATCCCTCGTAATTCGATTGTCAGAGACCAGAACAATGAAAACGGGTTGTCCTCTGTGTTTAATGGCAATACGAGATTGCGAACTTTCGAATTCTTTTTGTTCAACGGTTGCGGGTGCTTTCTTGTCATAGAAACCACTGCATTGATCTGTGCAAGTTTTAGAAAAATGTAAAATTTATTTCTAAAAAAGTTAGCCTATTGCTAACGAGATCAACAACTAAAGATTCATTAGTGATAGATAAGGTTTGAACTATCTTAATAAAACCTTTGTATTTGTATTTATTACATAGCTTCATTCACATGGTACATTCATATCTTGAAGGTGTCCGGATGACTAGAATGGTGTTTTTGCCAACTTTCCGATTTTTAAAATAAAAGATGTTAAAAGAATACAATATTTTGTTTTAATGTAATGGAGTCAACAACTATAAAAATGGGCCTTGCATTATATCCGTTCAGACATAGAAGGGCCAATGATTAGCTGTTA